AAGGGTCGCAACCCCTCTGGGGGGTGACACCATTAAGTGCCGCACCGGGTGACACCCGATCTCGCTACGCCACTGAACGGTTGTAAGGTTAAGTTTACCTACAAGGTGTGGCTCGAGTAAGACAGCTTTGCGTCATTAGATGTCACTAACCGCAGTTTTTATCTGACTTGCGAATATCAAAAATACATTTTTATTATTAAATATTTTGTATCTAGAGTTTGTGAAAAAAAAAACCTACTAGAAATATTCACATTATAAAATAACGCGCTTAAGTTACATATATTAAGGTCTATATAATTATAAAACACAACACTACTTTTACATTGTTTTTTTTTTAACAATTGATTTCTAATAACTTTCAAACACAATGTAAAAATCTAAATCTGATTTCTAACAAATGTACTATAGAAATCTAGATGAATAAACAATAACTCCCAAGAAATTTTTTTTATCACCAGAAATACATCACAGAACAGATTTACATTTCCTACAGTGGCCTGTTAACTGCCGTTGGTTGGCTGGAGAACATTCAACGATGGTTTCAAAACTCGCGTTCAAATGGAAGAAAACTCATGGCCATTGTCGGTGTTTGAGTGGCTTGAAATTGCCTCCATTTGATTGGTCAATAAACATGACGTCACTGTGACCTTACAGAAAAAGCCTTCACGGAAATTTGGTTCTGACCAACAGACCAACAGAACAGCAGACTAACTGACAAACAGACTAATTGACCAATAGACCAATAGACCAACTGACCAATAGACCAACTGACCAACTGACCAACAGACCAATAGACCAACAGACCAATTGACCAATAGACCAACTGACCAACTGACCAACTGACCAACTGACCAACTGACCAACTGACCAACTGACCAATAGACCAACAGACCAACTGACCAATAGACCAACTGACCAACTGACCAACTGACCAACTGACCAACTGACCAACTGACCAACAGACCAACTGACCAACAGACCAACAAACCAACTGACCAACAGACCAACAAACCAACTGACCAACAGACCAACAAACCAACTGACCAACAGACCAACAAACCAACTGACCAACAGACCAACAAACCAACTGACCAACAGACCAACAGACCAACAAACCAACTAACCAACAGACCAACAAACCAACTGACCAACATACCAACAAACCAACTGATCAACTGACCAACATACCAACTGTCCGACAAACAGACCAACTAACAAACAGACCAAATTTTCGACATAATAACAGACCAACACATCCACAACCAATCAAATTAAATGTCATAACAAATGACCTAATTTAACATCACACTTTCTATCGATTACAAAAAATCGATCCTTCTAAAATGATTAAACATAAATTTCTAGCATAAAAAGATTCAAAGCTTTGATTTGGCAGTACACACGCATGTTGAAATTATCTACCACTAAGATCTCTTTTATCGCTCACTGCACGCTCAATAAAGCTCAGCCAAAATAAATACCGGCTGAACAAATCATGGAAATTTGACATGCGCTGGATTTCAAGGGAAGCGGTGTAGAGGCCTTAGAAGTGAAGTTGTTGAATGGTCAAGTTCGGTAACTGTGGTCTGGTGGAAGGATTAGTAGCAAACATTCTTTTTTTTTAACAGCGGTTCCCAAACTGATGTAATTTTAAGATGATCAAGTAAAGGCCTAATAGTTTTAGGATAAGTGAGCAGGATAAGTGAATGTCAAATAATTTTAGGTTAAAAAGTAGTTTCCCCTTTCAAACCTGACGGTCTATGGGGCAAGTGAAGTAGAGTTCACTTGTTTTTGTGACCTCGGCATATGAAGAGATAGTGTGGTCAGCACTATGCCCAACCGCATTTACTTTCCCTAACGTGAGTTAGGTACCCATCAGAGTTGGGTGGACTCAGGGACAGTCTACTGACTTGATCCCGGATTCGAACTCAGGACTTGCTGGTTAGCAGTCCAGCTCTCTACCGCTAGACCACTCCGTCCTTTTTTTTTTTTATAGGTTAAGTGAATGTCAAATAGTTTTAGGATAAGTGAATTTTAAATAGTTTTAGGATAAGTGAATTTTAAATAGTTTTAGGATAAGTGAATGTTAAATAGTTTTAGGCAGAGGCGTAGCGTGAAATATTTTGTCTGAGATATTTTGTCTGAGATCATTTGTCCTGTCACCCCTTGCGAGTGATAAGTTTGCCAATACTCTACCAATGCTAGCATGACATGAAATTACTTTGACTGTTTAGATTAAGCTTAGGCCCTAAGCACGCCACTTAACAGCCAATCATTAATCAATTAATAATTCAAATTCTCAATAATTTTAGAAAACTTAGCGAAGCTAGGCAGTATGCCTAGTGTGTGTATATATTATATATATATGTATAAATATATATATAGAAATTTTACAGGGGGGTTGACACCATTAAATGCCGCACCGGGTGACACCCGACCTCGCTACGCCACTGTGTAGCTGTGCTGTTGTTTAGGACTAAATCTTGTCAGCTTAAGGGCCGAGCCACAGCTCTCCGCCGGGCTCTTGAGCCCTGAGCCGCCCACTTGAGTTGAGCCCAAGTAATCCCAGTAACCCTTGCTTTGGAATTGTTCTAGAAACAAGTACCATGTTCTAAGTTCTAGGGATTAGTGGAACATTCTAAATGTGAAACAACAAATGCTCCATAATATATGTGAAGCTTTCTGAAGATTTGTCGAGTGTTCTTAGCCCGCCAGCCCCCCCCCCCCCTCCCTCCCAACACTGATGAAATGTTCAATGTGATCAAATACATGTTCGGTGGATATGTAAAATTTGGTGTGTTGATTTTGTGTGTTGATTTGATGTGTTGATTTGGTGTGTTGATTTGGTGAGTTGGTTTTATTTGTTGATTTGGTGTGTTGATTTGGTGTGTTGATTTGGTGTGTTGGTTTGGTGTGTTGATTTGGTGTGTTGATTTGGTGTGTTGATTTGGTGAGTTGATTTGGTGTGTTGATTTGGTGTGTTGATTTGGTGAGTTGATTTGGTGAGTTAATTTGGTGTGTTGGTTTTATTTGTTGGTTTGGTGTGTTGATTTGGTGAGTTGATTTGGTGAGTTAATTTGGTGTGTTGGTTTTATTTGTTGATTTGGTGAGTTAATTTGGTGAGTTGATTTGGTGTGTTGGTTTTATTTGTTGATTTGGTGTGTTGATTAGGAGTGTAGATTAGGTGTGTACATTTTTTTTAAACACTGAGCCATGAAAATCAGATCAGAGTAGCATAACGTTTATTTGCTTATTCAAATTGTATCAAAACATAATTTTATACATATCATTTACAGCTATAATATATCACTTTTTACAAATATTTACATTATTATATATAACATTTATTTAAAAACAATACAGTTACATTTATTCTGTTATCACATTTGATATCTATAGTTTTAACAGCGAACAACAGTTCATTTTAAAAAGTCAGCTTTCGCTTGATGAATGTTACCAAAAAAAATGTTTTAAAATATGAACATGCTTGTTTTGACCTCTGCCCCATGCGAAAACGTCAGCACGTGCAGCCAGTGATGTCACAACCCGGGGGAGGGGGGATGCGGATGTGGACATCATCGGGTGACACCATCCAAGGTAGTGGCACAAACATTGATAGCTAATGAGAAAGTCTGGGGTTGTTGTTTTTTTTTCAATTAATTAGTAAAGATTTATTGAAGTTATATACATCATTATGCGCAGGGTGAAACCATCTGAGATCTGATATGGCGGTTGGGAGGGGGTGGTCACCCCGGGTTACAGAACCTGATTGTCACACGACCTAGTGACGCCACTGTATAGCTACTGTATATGGGCCATATATGTAGATGGAATTATCTCACTCACCTGATAAAAAGCAAGGGGTCGTCCATCGATGACGTAGCACCCCTAGGTTTGGGGGGGGGGGGAGGTCGACTTTGCTGGCGATATGTGCACCAAGGGGAGAGCGGGGGAGGGGCTTGTTAATTAAAAGAGTGTGATGAGACACTTCTGCATTTGAAAAAGGAATGATAGAAAATAAATGTAGAAGTGATGTTCTTTCGTGGCTTTGAAAGACAATTTTAACAACTTTAAGAAAATGAGTGTAATGTTCAATGATGGCTGTGTACTGTAATGATGGTACAAGGAAATCTTCCTTTAAATAATTTAAAAGACAAAAATTGCAATTTCGGTAGTAGGACATTATGTGGATAGTGCAGGACATTGTGTGGGTGGTGTAGGACATTGTGTAGGTGGTGTGGGATTGTGTGGGTAGTGCAAGATATTGTGTGGGTGGTGTAGGTGACTGTGTGGGTGGTGTAGGTGATTGTGTGGGTAGTGTGGGAGATTGTGTGGGTGTTGTAGATGACTGTGTGGGTAGTGTAGGATATTGTGTAGGTAGTGTGGGAGATTGTGTGGGTGTTGTAGATGACTGTGTGGGTAGTGTAGGATATTGTGTAGGTGGTGTGGGAGGTTGTGTGGGTGGTGTAGGTGACTGTGTGGGTAGTGTAGGTGATTGTGTGGGTGGTGTGGGGGATTGTGTGGGTAGTGTGGGGGATTGTGTGGGGGATTGTGTTGGTGGTGTAGGGGATTGTGTGGGTGGTGCAAGATATTGTGTGGGTGGTGCAAGATATTGTGTGGGTGGTGCAAGATATTGTGTGGGGGATTGTGTGGGTGGTGTGGGGGATTGTGAAGAGGTGCGGGATATTGTGTAGGTGAGTGGATGGTGTAGGATATTGTGTGGGTGGTGTAGGATATTGTGTGGGTGGTGTAGGATATTGTGAGGGTGGTGTAGAGGATTGTGTGCATGGTGATGGATATTGTGTGGGTGGTGAGGGTGATTGTGGTGGTGGTGTGGGGGATTGTGTGGGTGGTGTAGGTGACTGTGTGGGTGGTGTGGGGGATTGTGTGGTGGATTGTGTGGGTGGTGTGGAGGATTGTGTGGGTGGTGTGGGGGATTATGTAGGTGGTGTGGGTGATTGTGTGGTTGGTGTGGGGGATTGTGTGGGTGGTGTGGGGGATTGTGTGGGGGACTGTTGGACTATCCCAGGGACCGTAACTCTTCCAATCTAATCTACACGCGAGTCATTAGAAGAGTCCTCCCCTCTTAGCGTGACCTTTGGGTAGATAAGACAAGAGTAACAGGTCTGGCTGACCTTTGAAAAGGTCAAACATGGAATGTCATATAGCGTTTCCAGAACAGGATGGTTTGTAATTAAGTTTTAATCAGGATCAACATAGATGTACTCTTGGGTTTAGCAGCAACAGGTGGTAATAAGGATACAACAGATGTTAATTAGGCTTCATATTGCAATTAGTTAACAACAGGTGGTAATTAAGATTCATGTTGTAATTAGAATACAAGTTGTAATTAGGATGCATGTTGTAATTAGGATACAACAGATGGTAATTAAAATACAACATGGTATTAGGATACAACAGATGTTAATTAGGCTTCATATGGTAATTAGTATAGAACAGGTGGTAATTAAGATTCATGTTGTAATTATAGTACAAGTTGTAATTAGGATACAAGTTGTAATTAGGATACAATGCACTATTGCTAGGAAACAACATGGCTGTAGTTAGGATAGAGCATTTTTTACTTGGGATACTTCACAGGGTCTTTAGCGTTTGGGAACAATAAGAGACATTTACTGGCATAGCGTTTAGCTAAGCATGCACAGTGGGTCAACTATGGGTCAACAGAAGGTCATCTCGAGGTCATCGTGAGGTCATCGTGAGGTCACCTCAAGATCAACTAGGACTCAGAGGTCGACTCTGGCTCCAATTGTTAATTCAAGGTCGATCTTGGGTCAACTCGAGGTCAGACCGAGGTCAGCCCGGGGTCAACTAGAGGTCAGGCCAAGGTCAGCCCGGGGTCAACTCGAGGTCAGGCCGCTGTGTGAACTGTTCATGTGGACAAAGTAGAGTCTCTTGTAGAAGGCAAGGTTGAAGGGCAAGGTCGAAGCCGTTTTGTTCTCCAGGTACTCCTCCATACAGGCATAGGCCACCGGGTCAAAGGTCAGGTCAAACTTGTTGGCCCCGATGTGGTTCTGGAAGAGCATGGTGGGAAGGTCACGTGCCGAGAAGACGCAGATGCTGTGGATGACCTGGCCTTGACATTTGAACTTGGGGTTGCTGTATTGCCAGCTGATGAACTTGGTGATGTAGCCTTTTTTGTCGGGTTCACCTGTTGGGGAGGGGGTGGCAGAGGTGGTTAAGCTTGGAGGACATCAAGAGGACACGCTAAAGACATCAAGAGGACATATAAAGGAGATCAAGGGGACACTAGCAGTACATCGGCACACAAGGATGAGAGAGAACACAAGGACATCAGGGGAAACCGAGAAGGACATCACAAAGACATGAAGAGATTATGAGGACATCAGGACACGAGATAAAATCAGGACATGTTTAATTAGGAGGACATCCTGCAGGACATCAAGAGGACACATGAAGGACATCAAGAGGACACATGAAGAACATCAAGAGGACACATGAAGAACATCAAGAGGACACTTGCAGGACATCAAGAGGACACTCGCATGACAAGAGGACACTCGCAGGACATCAAGAAAACATGAGTATTCCTCCAAGAAAACAATCTCCACAAACGCCCCACCTTTCTGCACGGGGTTGTTAGTGAGGACATTCCAGTACCACGACCCCCTAACTACCGCCTTGCACCCTCAAATGAATTTATTTCAACAGACAACCTCCCCAGCTGACGACCCCTAATTAACCCCTGAGGTCACGGTTCTTAATGACACCCTAAATCTGCACCCGTTTGAATATGAAATAGCCCCTAATGTTATTTTCATTTTCCACACTCCAAACTATTTTTGGCCTTAAAACACCAATCGTTGGGAAACTTCAATAATAAACCGGGAGTAATCTCCCCTAAACTTTCTCGAATATTCTTATATGAAACAATAGGAGATGGCAACTCGGGATATCTCGTATATACGAGAAAGTAAAAAGTAACCAAAAGCTAGTGTCTACTGGGGTGGGAAGGGTGTTGATCTCACCTTTGAACCCCCCGGGGGTGTGTAAAAAGGGGTTGTGGTAGAGGTTGTTGAGGGTCCCCCAGTAGTGCTCATCCGGGCTGTACGTCTTCTCGCTCCACTTGAGCAAGTCACGTGGTTTGGGGTCGGTCAACGCCCACTCAACGAACTCTCTGGAGAAGGTGTTGTAGGCTTGACCTGTGGGAGTTGGGGGGGGGGGGCAGTAGAGATGGTTAGTAGACATAGACATGGTCAATAGACATGGTCAAATAGGGGAGGAGAAGTGAGAAGGTCAATACTAATAGATATGGCGAACTTTTACCTTTGATTAAGGTTATGTGGGGTGATGAACTTTTACCTTTGGTTATGGTGATGTTGTGGGGTGGGGTGGTGAACTTTTACCTTTGGTTATGGTGATGTGAGTGATGAACTTTTACCTTTGCTTATGGTGATGTTGTGGGGTGGGGTGGTGAACTTTTACCTTTGGTTATGGTGGTGTTGTGGGGTGGGGTGGTGAACTTTTACCTTTGGTTATGGTGATGTTGTGGGGTGGGGTGGTGAACTTTTACCTTTGGTTATGGTGATGTGGGGTGATGAACTTTTACCTTTGCTTATGGTGATGTTGTGGGGTGGGGTGGTGAACTTTTACCTTTGGTTATGGTGGTGTTGTGGGGTGGGGTGGTGAACTTTTACCTTTGGTTATGGTGATGTGGGGTGGGGTGGTGAACTTTTACCTTTGGTTATGGTGATGTGTGGTGGTGAACTTTTACCTATGGTTATGGTGATGTTGTGGGGTGGGGTGGTGAACCTTTACCTTTGGTTATGGTGGTGATGTGGGTGGGGTGGTGAACTTTTACCTTTGGTTATGGTGATGTGGAGTGGTGAACTTTTACCTTTGGTTATGGTGATGTTGTGAGTGGTGAACTTTTACCTTTGGTTATGGTGATGTGGGGTGGGGTGGTGAACTTTTACCTTTGGTTATGGTGATGTTGTGAGTGGTGAACTTTTACCTTTGGTTATGGTGATGTTGTGACGTGGTCAACTTTTACCTTTGGTTATGGTGATGTGGGGTGGTGAACTTTTACCTTTGGTTATGGTGATGTGGGGTGGTCAACTTTTACCTTTGGTTATGGTGATGTGGGGTGGTGAACTTTTACCTTTGGTTATGGTGATGTTGTGAGTGGTCAACTTTTACCTTTGGTTATGGTGATGTGGGGTGGTGAACTTTTACCTTTGGTTATGGTGATGTGGGGTGGTCAACTTTTACCTTTGGTTATGGTGATGTGGGGTGGTGAACTTTTACCTTTGGTTATGGTGATGTTGTGAGTGGTCAACTTTTACCTTTGGTTATGGTGATGTGGGGTGGTGAACTTTTACCTTTGGTTATGGTGATGTTGTGGGGTGGTGGTGCCAATGTCACTGTGGTGGCTTTCATCCGGCCGTTGACCACTGCATATTCCTGAAACACATACGGCGAGGGTTCTATATGTGTGGTCTTCTATGTCGTCAGTTAAATATGCGATAAAGATATAAGATACAGATTGCAAACATTTAACGCCCACCACCTACCCGGGCTAAAAAAATTATTAAGTAGAATAAGTTTATATCTAGCTTCATCTCTAGGTTCATCTTCTAAATTTATCTCTAGGTATATCTTCCTGTCCGATGTCACGCCTTAACTACACCCTCATAACGCCACACCATCCACCACAACCACCATCCCCTACCACCAAACCAGTCAGCAGACAACAGCATCCATTTGATTTCAAGATCTACAGCAATGGATACAATCCATCAAACAATCAAATCTCAAATAATTGTTGTCCCTCTGATATATGGTCGGTCATTTGTCCTGCCACCATATACGTATTATATATATATATATATATATATATATATATATATATATATATATATATATATATATATATATATATATATATATATATATACACGTGTGAAACAGCCCTTTTCACATCCTCCACCCCCACATTCAACCTCACGTCCGATGTTTTCAAGCGGAACTGTTCACATGGACTCCATTTTTATCATCACCGCTGACGTCACTATTTCAGATATTGTTCCCCGAATCATTCAACGAAGACTCGCTACAACAAAACACCGTTATTGTCAATCGAGTGTTATTGTGTCCATGTGTCATATTTCCCCGAGACTTGACACAAAGACCGACTAGATTAGAGCCGAGTTAAAATAAAACTGACCCATTTATAGCGCTCCGGTATCCGGGCCTTGTAAGATTCGTGAATGTCGTTTCGACCTTTCAGGGATTTTAAAATTTGCACCGTTTCAAGATTTGAACGGAGTGGGAATTCTGTGGCGGCGTAGTTGATCAGGTATCTGAAACAGGTTTTGTAGGTTGTAGCAGGAATTATCACGCTTGGATTTATTGACCCCTTTCCCACAACACCTGTATACTGACATTCTAAATTTACCCCCCCCCCCCACATCTACCCACACACACCTGATTTATCAAGCCTGACCCCCACGTGACAATCACACCTACCCACACACCTAGCCCCACCCCCCCACACCTGACAGTCACACCTACCCACACACCTAGCCCCCCCCCCCCCCCACCTGACGTCCACACCTAATCCAACACACACCTACCACCACACCCACACATCTGATCCACTACAATCTCACCACCAACACATGCCCCCCCCCTCCCCGGCATGTTGGATCCCTTCCCCACACACCCACCCACACCCGATACACCTCACAACTACATCCGACACTTTTACCAATAACACAAGACCCTCCACACACGAACCACCACCCCCCACACACACATGCTTGACCCCCCACACCCACACATGCTTGACCCCCCCCAACACACACCCACACACCTGCATGACCTCCCCCACACACACCCACACACCTGCATGACCCCACACCCCCACACGTGACCTACTTCCACTTCTGGTCCAGCTCGAGTAGATCCCTCATGCAGACGATGTCCGCCATCAGCCGTGTCATGTGAGCGTAGATGATGGTCTGGGGTTCGGATACCAGTGCGACGTTGGGGAAACATTCAGCCAGGGCGTGGGCGGCAGTCTTCAGGGACTCTGGAAATAATTTAAACTTTGTTGGTTACTTGATGGTTTATTGGATAATTTACGTTTTGTTGGTTACTTGATGGTTTACTGGATACTTTACTTTTTGTTGGTTACTTGATGGTTAACTGGATAATTTACGTTTTGTTGGTTACTTGATGGTTAACTGGATAATTTACTTTTTGTTGGTTACTTGATGGTTTACTGGATAATTTATTGGATACTTTACGTTTTGTTGGTTACTTGATGGTTTACTGGATAATTTATTGGATACTTTACGTTTTGTTGGTTACTTGATGGTTTACTGGATAATTTACTTTTTGTTGGTTACTTGATGGTTAACTGGATAATTTACGTTTTGTTGGTTACTTGATGGTTAACTGGATAATTTACTTTTTGTTGGTTACTTGATGGTTTACTGGATAATTTATTGGATACTTTACGTTTTGTTGGTTACTTGATGGTTTACTGGATAATTTATTGGATACTTTACGTTTTGTTGGTTACTTGATGGTTTACTGGATAATTTACTTTTTGTTGGTTACTTGATGGTTTACTGGATAATTTATTGGATAATTTACTTTTTGTTGGTTACATGATGGTTTACTGGATAATTTACTTTATGTTGGTTACTTGATGGTTAACTGGATAATTTACTTTTTGTTGGTTACTTGATGGTTAACTGGATAATTTACTTTTTGTTGGTTACTTGATGGTTAACTGGATAATTTACTTTTTGTTGGTTACTTGATGGTTAACTGGATAATTTACATTTTGTTGGTTACTTGATGGCTTACTGGATAATTTACTTTTTGTTGGTTACTTGATGGTTTACTGGATAATTTACTTTTTGTTGGTTACTTGATGGTTTACTGGATAATTTACATTTTGTTGGTTACTTGATGGTTTACTGGTTAATTTATTTAATAATTTACATTTTGTTGGTTACTTGATGGTTTACTGGAAAATTTACTTTTTGTTGGTGACTTGATGATTTACTGGATAATTTACTTTTTGTTGGTTACTTGATGGTTTACTGGATAATTTACTTTTTGTTGGTTACTTGATGGTTTACTGGATAATTTATTGGATACTTTACGTTTTGTTGGTTACTTGATGGTTTACTGGATAATTTATTGGATACTTTACGTTTTGTTGGTTACTTGATGGTTTACTGGATAATTTATTGGATACTTTACGTTTTGTTGGTTACTTGATGGCTTACTGGATAATTTACTTTTTGTTGGTTACTTGATGGTTTACTGGAAAATTTACTTTTTGTTGGTTACTTGATGGTTTACTGGAAAATTTACTTTTTGTTGGTTACTTGATGGTTTACTGGATAATTTATTGGATACTTTACGTTTTGTTGGTTACTTGATGGTTTACTGGATAATTTATTGGATACTTTACGTTTTGTTGGTTACTTGATGGTTTACTGGATAATTTACTTTTTGTTGGTTACTTGATGGTTTACTGGATAATTTATTGGATACTTTACGTTTTGTTGGTTACTTGATGGTTTACTGGAAAATTTACTTTTTGTTGGTTACTTGATGGTTTACTGGATAATTTATTGGATAATTTACTTTTTGTTGGTTACATGATGGTTTACTGGATAATTTACTTTTTGTTGGTTACTTGATGGTTAACTGGATAATTAACTTTTTGTTGGTTACTTGATGGTTAACTGGATAATTTACTTTTTGTTGGTTACTTGATGGTTAACTGGATAATTTACTTTTTGTTGGTTACTTGATGGTTAACTGGATAATTTACTTTTTGTTGGTTACTTGATGGTTTACTGGATAATTTACTTTTTGTTGGTTACTTGATGGTTTACTGGATAATTTATTTAATAATTTACATTTTGTTGGTTACTTGATGGCTTACTGGATAATTTACTTTTTGTTGGTTACTTGATGGTTTACTGGATAATTTACTTTTTGTTGGTTACTTGATGGTTTACTGGATAATTTACATTTTGTTGGTTACTTGATGGTTTACTGGTTAATTTATTTAATAATTTACATTTTGTTGGTTACTTGATGGTTTACGGGATAATTTACTTTTTGTTGGTTACTTGATGATTTACTGGATAATTTACTCTTTGTTGGTTACTTGATGGTTTACTGGATAATTTACTTTTTGTTGGTTACTTGATGGTTTACTGGATAATTTACTTTTTGTTGGTTACTTTATGGTTTACTGGAAAATTTATTGGATAATTTACTTTTTGTTGGTTACTTGGTGGTTTACTAGATAATTTACTTTTTGTTGGTTACTTGGTGGTTTACTAGATAATTTACTTTTTGTTGGTTACTTGATGGTTTACTGGAAAATTTACTTTTTGTTGGTTACTTGATGGTTTATTGGGATAATTTACCTGATAATTTTCTTGATGCTTTAATTCATAATTTACCTGATAATTTACTTGATAATTTACCTGATAATTGACCTTATAGTTTGCTTGATAATTTACTTCATAATTTACTTGATAATATAGTTTACTGTATAATTTTTTAAAATAATTTACTTGATAATTTACTTGATATTTTATAAATAAATTACTTGATAATTTACTTTAACACATTGTGATATCTAGTAGGTAATAATATCTAGTAGGTATAATACATATATATAAGGTGTTTATACCGTTCGTCTCTATGTCCGTGTATATTTATTGCTCAAAGGTAATAGTTGCCTAAGACTAGAGGCTACCACACATAGCCACACCAAGCCATGTTAGACTAAGACTTTACAATTTTAGAACATTGACCGGTTATTGTTTTCTAATTGTCACAAATTATTTTAAAATACAAGATGGCGCAAGGGAGGTAATAGGTATGTGCCGAGTCTTATGTGAGGAGTTTAGGTAAACATTGAGACAAAATATTTGACATAAAGATTTGAGAGTTCATTATAATGTGCAAAGTTTAGATTGGTATATCAGTAGGAGGGGAGATAATGCATTGTTAAGGGTGAAAGGGAAATAATTGATTTACGTTAGTCAGCCAAGGGGATATAACCAGTTATGAGTTGGAGCAAATCAAATTATTCGTCTGACCCTTGGGATTATTAGCATCGTTGGATCGATGTTGCTTTATGGTGGGGGGGGGGGGGGTGACCTTTGGTGAGTGGTGACCTTTGGTGTGTGGTGACCTTTGGTGTGTGGTGACCTTTGGTGTGTGGTGACCTTTGGTGTGTGGTGACCTTTGGTGTGTGGTGACCTTTGGTGTGTGGTGACCTTTGGTGTGTGGTGACCTTTGGTGTGTGGTGACCTTTACTGATGGAGCTTTTGGTGGCTGATGTGGAATAGACTAATTAATAAGGCAGTTAGTGTAAACAATTCATGTGTTCATGGAGTCCAAATACGAAATGTGGCAAAACTACAGGAAAAGCAATCACAAATACTTCACAGCAATAAGCAACAACAGCACCATTGTAACAACAGCACTCATGTAACAACAGAACCAATGTAACAACAACAGCACCAATGTAACAACAACAGCACCAATGTAACAACAACAGCACCAATGTAACAACAACAGCACCAAAGTAACAACAGCACCAATGTAACAACAGCACCAATGTAACAACAACAGCAACAATGTAACAACAGCACCAATGTAACAACAGCACCCATGTAACAACAGCACCAATGTAACAACAGCACCAATGTAACAACAGCACCAATGTAACAACAACAGCAACAATGTAACAACAGCACCAATGTAACAACAGCACCCATGTAACAACAGAACCAATGTAACAACAACAGCACCAATGTAACAACAACAGCACCAATGTAACAACAACAACACCAATGTAACAACAGCACCAATGTAACAACAGCACCAATGTAACAACAGCACCAATGTAACAACAGCACCAATGTAACAACAACACCAAAGTAACAACAACAGCACCAATGTAACAACAACAGCACCAATGTAACAACAGCACCAAAGTAACAACAACAGCACCAATGTAACAACAACAGCACCAATGTAACAACAACACCAAAGTAACAACAACAGCACCAATGTAACAACAACACCAAAGTAACAACAACAGCACCAATGTAACAACAACAGCACCAAAGTAACAATAACAGCACCAATGTAACAACAACACCAAAGTAACAACAACAGCACCAATGTAACAACAGCCCCAATGTAACAACAGCACCAAAGTAACAACAACAGCACCAAAGTAACAACAACAGCACCAATGTAACAACAGCACCAATGTAACAACAGCACACATGTAACAACAGCACCAATGTAACAACAACAGCACCAATGTAACAACAACAGCACCAATGTAACAATAACAGCACCAAAGTAACAACAACAGCACCAATGTAACAACAACACCAAAGTAACAACAACAGCACCAATGTAACAACAGCCCCAATGTAACAACAGCACCAAAGTAACAACAACAGCACCAAAGTAACAACAACAGCACCAATGTAACAACAGCACCAATGTAACAACAGCACACATGTAACAACAGCACCAATGTAACAACAACAGCACCAATGTAACAACAACAGCACCAATGTAACAACAGCACCAATGTAACAACAGCACCCATATAACAACAGCACCAATGTAACAACACCACTAACATACCAGCACCACTAGCGTAACAATTGAAAACAAAAATCCACATGAACATATTTTTACCAAAGGAACTTCAATTTCATTCCGTAATACAACACCATCTATAAATCTTAAAATGTCAGAACAGGAATTTTTAATTCAATCCCACACCCCCACACACATACACACAAACTACAAACACACATACATGTGGACACGATGGACTAGACTAGTCCCCTAATTCGTTGTTTAATTTTTTTTTTAAGTTTTCGTGGTATTTCAACATTCAAAGTTTTAGAGTTACTGAATAGCGAAGGTGACAAATGCGTTTCGCTTTTCTTAATTAGATTACTAATCTTAGTCAGTTGCGCACTCCAGGTGATCTCGGGACCAGGAGTCTTGCCTTGCTTCACTTGCAGGCCACTCCCACCTCCTCATTCCCCCCCCCCCCCCCCCACCCCCCCCCCCCCACACACACACACATGTTCAAATTGTGTTGTCCCGAGTGACAAGGTTCAAGCAAAATTTCTTTCTACTAAAGATGACCGGAATCATTAGCTGAACAATGCACAATCACAATCCACAATCTTCAACGGCAAGCCGTGGCGGAACTACCGTGCTGCCCGACCCCACAGTTTGGTGTGTGTGGAGGGGGGGGGGGGGTCAGTGGTTGACCGCCGACCACACATAAAAAAGTAAAATATGTTATTCCAAAAATAATAATATTTTCATGCAACTTGATCATACACCCGATCCCATACACCCAATCCCAGATACCCAATCGACAAACCCAATCCCCCCCTCCCCCCCTCCCCCCCCCCCCCACCAATGTGCGACACAACAAAAAACATTTCTATTCAAGATATTTCGTAATTCCCCGTAGCATAACGGACCGCCTGCTAGTTTTCTATATTTTCTATACACTTTTGTTCTTGTTTGACTCCCGCCCTTCGCCGACGATCGGTGTCAGATTTCAGGCAACGGATCTTCTGAGAAATTTCTAGAGACTAAAAGCCAAGCGAGTTGAATCGGTGCAGTGGTAGGGGGGGGGTTAACACTGGATGCACAATGCAGTAGATTTCAATGTTTGTTGTAAGTAGATTCACGTTGACGTTTAGATGACATGTTGAAAGATGAGGCGTCGCGTCTGCGTTTAGATCCGCTTAGGGAAAATCTCGAATTAATATGTGGGATGGGGGGGGGGGAGGGGTGAGGTAGGACACTGGAGACACAATGCAATATATTATATAATTATGTTTGTTGTAAAACTGTTTAGCGGCTAACGTTAAAGAGAAATATTTAATCAGGAGATGATGTTAGATCCGGTTATGAAAAAGTCGAAAAAAAATCATTTGGCAAATTAGTTGGAGGGTGTTAAATATTAATTAGACGGTGATATGTTACGAAATAATTAGCCGAGATTTTAAGAATTAATTGGTTTGAGAGTAGTCAACAATTAATTTGGTGTGGCGTTAAGAGTTTATAAGTTGATTACATATGGCATCATTTTTTCCAAATAAATCTTGCGGCTAAAAGCAAGTTTTGCATCTAGCAAGAACAGTGGTCTATGACCTGCGGCAACCTGCGGCAACATGCGCAACATTGCAGCAACCTGCGGTCACCTTCGCAAATATGGGGAACCTGCGGCAAGAAATTGCAACCTGCGGTCACCTGCGAATCCTTCAATATTTACATTCTAATGGACTCAACTGAGATTAGTCTCACAATAGGTAGGAAAAAGTGGTTCCAAAGTGATTCCACTTGGTTGTTGCCAGAAAGCATATTTTCAACCAAAATTGAATATTTGTATAGCATTTGTGTAATAAGTACAAAATTACTTCCGGTTTCATTTTGGTAGAAATAGTCAAAGAAATAATTACAAATAATATAGTAGTAATTTAGCAAACACTTGTATTTTTTATTTGGATTAGTAGAGTCAGTGTGTTGTGGTGATTGGGGATGTTATGTTATTTAATATAAATACAATACTGCGCTAAACACCATATATCACTAATGTGTATTTTTATCATGGAGAATAATTATTCTGACTTTTATTGTTTTACTCTCCCTGCCCATTTCAGTCGACTTCAAGGAGAGGTTGAGGGTAGTTCTTGAAAAAAATATATGAATTGATAAAATAATTCTAAACGGTTTTCAACGGCTTATATTCGATACAAAAGTATAAATATAATTGTAATCGATGGTTCCCGAAAGGCTTTAATTTTTACAAATGTAACTATAATTTTATCGCTTGCCATATTTTACTAAAGAATTATTTTTTAAAATTTAGTATGATTACATAGACTTTTCCTACCTATTATTCGAAAGGTCGTTTAAAGATTTAAAAAATCATGTACGATGTTAATAAAATAAATGCGGTTATAATCTGATTGTTTGATTTTTGTTAGACCTTACTAAAGATTTGATGTAATTTATGTTTTTAGTATTTTGGTAACTAAGCTAAATTGAAAATAAAAAGCCAAAAACAATTTTAATTGTATACTTTTATCCAAAAAAATTAAAAGCAAAAAATGACGACTTTAAAATTGTATCGGCAAAGTTTTTAATACAAATTACTATGAGTTTTTTTAAAGAGGGGTTTTCAGAATATCAATCAGTTCCTGTATAGGAATGTTTGTCTTACGTAAGTAACACATCAGGTTATATCTTAAACTTGATGAAAATAAATAAAAAATGTAGCCTTAAACTCAAAAAAATATTTTAAAGTTCTCTGCAATTGCAACTTGTATAATATTAATTCTAAAAATATTAAATTTCTGAAATATTTTAATTTTAGCCTTACGATTATTTTTTTATTATCTTACACGGCTTAATTTACCCTTATTTTTAAATCGGACAAAGTCCAATTCATCTACACATATAAAAAATTATTTGCGTTTTTTTTTTACATTTAAAATATGTTTTTGTACTGAGGATTAATCAATGCTTAACATTTTTATAGTAATGAAATTTTAGACGGCAACAGTTGAAATAAGATTATCTAGAAGGCAACAGTTTTAAAAAAGATTATCTATAAAGCAAGAGGTAAAACTACAGGTAAAATTAGAATTTCTAGAAAGCAACAGTTGAAAAAAATATATTTAGAAGTCAACAGTTGAAATAAGATTATCTAGAAAACAACTGGTACAAGAATATTATTTAGAAAACTACAAGGCGACAAAGGTGAAACAAGATTATATTAAAAACAACAAAGGTGAAATAAGATTATCTAGAAGCCAACAAAGGTAAAATAAGATTATCTTGAAGCCAACAAAGATGAAATAAGATTATCTATAAGCCAATAAAGGTGAAATAAGATTATCTAGAAGCCAACAAAGGTAAAATAAGATTATCTAGAAGCCAACAAAGGTGAAATAAGATTATCTAGAAGCCAACAAAGGTAAAATAAGATTATCTAGAAGCCAATAAAGGTGAAATAAGATTATCTAGAAGCCAATAAAGGTGAAATAAGATTATCTAGAAGCCAATAAAGGTGAAATAAGATTATCTAGAAGCCAACAAAGGTAAAATAAGATTATCTAGAAGCCAACAAAGATGAAACAAGATTATCTGAAAAAAAAACAGGTGAGACAAACTTACCTGGAGATTTGGCATCCACGTGAATGCAGAAGGAATGTTGCGGCATGTACAAACTCCTCAACAACCTCTCCAGGTGCTCAAAGTCCCGATGTACCAGCACAACGTACGCCAGGGGAAACCGCTGCTCCTCTTCCGACCCGGTTTCGTTCCTGTACCCTCGGATGTGCTTAAACGCCTCGCAGTCCTTGAGCAGGCTCGGAGCCTTGTTGTCGGGGAATGTGGTGAAAGTTTTCTCGTGAGCGGTCTTGTACATGGAGGCTTTCTCATGCTCGTGCTCATCATCCTCGAAAAGCTTCCGGCAGTTGAACTTGTGACGTAATCCTAACCCACGGGAGTGGTACTCGCGTATGACGTCATACTTGGGGTGGGAGTACTTCTCGGAGTGAGCGGGGTCGGTGCCGTTGGGAGCCGAACCCGCGACGTTCTGGTAGTCGTCTCTGCAGAGCGGCTGGAAGGTGATGCCCAGCCGTAGGACGTAGACGGTCGTGGTCAAAGTCATCAGGAGCAAAACAAAGGTCAAAGTTCGATTTAACGAGCTCAGATTTAATCGGACAACTTTCATGTTGAATGGTGGTGTTCGATGTTTTCATCATGTAGTGGTTTTAATGATTTAATATTCGATACTTTGATGTAGGAGTCGTGATTGTAGGTATATAATCGATACTTCCATAATGTAATCATCAAAGTATATGAATATTCGATACTTTTACTATAAAGTTGTCACAATACATTCATATTCGATAATCCCGTGTAGTATAATCCTCCATACACATGTATTCGATTAGTAGTTGTGTTCCGTTGGTAATAATATCCGATGGGAAAGTAATCGATTATTTATCCAAGTCGACTAATAAATTATGGACACAGAACCTTGACTTGACGGGAACATTGACACTGTCTACAAACGACGTGTATAGAATATTGACACAGTCCAAGCAGGCAGAATCCATCAGATCCTCAGTTCCTGTAACGCGACACTCCTACACTCCGTGGAGTGTAGCGAGCGGAGAGAGTGGCCGCTGGGAGACGCCACCATTGATACAGCGATATACTTAGCCCTAATTAGCCGCGCCGCCTAATTAGTTTTTGTCTTGCCCGCTCGACGGTCCTTGACGGCTGTGACGTCATCAACTGGGGGTCGTGGTGAACTGACTGCAGGGGGGGGGGGAGAAAAAAAAACTATTGTAAAGCCAAAGCCAGGTAGAATGTGAAACACACAAACATTATTCGTGGAATAATCGCGGGCGGGGCGTTGGTTGTAGGCCGTCTTCCGGTCGTCTGGCGGTCGTCTATGTGTAACCCACATACCAGGTCATTAGCGTCTTGTGTCTCGTCTGATAACATTGATATCCTGTCTGTAAGCGTGACCTCACATCACGTGATCTTAGTGACAGTTTCAGCCAATAACATGTTTTAACTGGTCGAGATAATGATGTAAATAGCGACGTAGAACAGGTTCATGGTCTAGTATATATATATATATATATATATATATATATATATATATATATATATATATATATATATATATATATTTATATATTATATATATATATATATATATATATATATATATATATATATATATATATATATATATATATATATATATATATATATATATATATATATATATAAATATATAACTACACTTTTAAAATATATAATACATTACATTAAAATTTAATATTTGAATTAGATTAAAACAAAAATCACAATATAATACACACAACTACACATTAAAATCAAACATACAAAAACCAAGGGAGATAACAATACGTAATATAGAACAAAATTACAAAAACACTACATAAAGATAAACAGCATGAATAAAATACAGCATAACAATAATATATAATGAAACAATAATACAAAGTAACAGCAAAAATCAAAACACAACAAAAGTACATACCACAAATACATAACAAAGCAAAAACACATTTAAAAAACAACTAAAACATAAATACACGACACGTTACAAAATTACAACATAACAAATGCTCAACAGTGGGCCAATCCTTGAATAGCGGATTGTGAACCCAACACACAAATTTATTTCAATGAAAATGTTTTTTTCAATGGAGGGTATAAATATGGTATATATAATTATATACATAATTGTATAGTACTATATTGTTTTGCATTATTTATAAATAATTATTTTATTATTATTATCTGTTTATTATTATGCTATTAAACACCAACTGTGATTTAACAATTTTTGTTTCAGACAGGTACTTAAAAGCTACAGAAAAATTATCAATTATATTTTAATAATCATATGTTTACTAAAAAGCTTTTTCTTTTCAGCTCATTACTATAAGATGTATTAATTTTTATTTGCATTTTGAAATGAAAGATGAATGATAGAGAAATGGTTTAACAGAACAAAAGTAATGTAAACTATGGCATTCCCTAACGGCCAGTGATGAAAAAGTAAGTTTTATATATAGGTAAAATAATAGTTCAATATATAAAACTACAAAACTGAGGCAAAAAAAAAAAAGAAAAAAATTTTTTTTTCAAGTTATTCTTACATTGTTGTTATTCCTTTAATTCACAAGAAAAGAATAAATAGCCTCTAACAAATAGCATACATTTCAAAAAACTTAGTATGCTTTTCAAAACTTATACTATACAAAAATACATTTAAATAAACCGGTAGTGATCTCCCCTAAACTTTCTCGAATATTCTTATATAAAACAACAGGGGATGGTAACTGGGGATATAGTTATGATTTTTAATCCATTTTAAATACTTAAACTTTTAAAAATAGAATAGAATCTCATAAAAAAAACATTGCGCACCAAGCAAACGCCGAATAAAATCGCGTATAATAGTGCGCAATATTATTAGTACTTTAAAAATTTACATTAGTTTTTTGAGAAATCGGAAGTAGCGTAAATTACTACTTCCAGTCAACGGAAATTACTCAAAATTTAACAGAAGGTAGAGAATTAGATCTTTTACTTACATGTGAAATTTCATTTATCTATCTGAAATAGTACTCAAGTTATAGGCTTTTAAAAAATTCAAAGTAGGAAAAGTACCACTTCCGGTTATCGGAAATCGCTCAAAAGTTGATACGGATCTACGATTTTGATAAAATACTTATATATGAAATTTCATCAACCTAGCTGTAACGGTACTCAAGTTATCGTGTTTACACACGGACAGACACACAGACACACACACACACAGACATACGGACAAGATTGCAAAATTATGTTTTTCCGTATCAGTGAGGTGTAAAACGTCGAGATTTGTAAAAATCTCGATTTTTTTTTTTTTGCACGATTACAATACTTTCTCTATACTACGTATATACGAGAAAGTAAAAATAGTATACATTTCAAAACATATAGTATGCATTTCAAAACAAATTGGTATACATTTATCTATCTGAAATAGTACTCAAGTTATAGGCTTTTAAAAAATTCAAAGTAGGAAAAGTACCACTTCCGGTTATCGGAAATCGCTCAAAAGTTGATACGGATCTACGATTTTGATAAAATACTTATATATGAAATTTCATCAACCTAGCTGTAACGGTACTCAAGTTATCGTGTTTACACACGGACAGACACACAGACACACACACACACAGACATACGGACAAGATTGCAAAATTATGTTTTTCCGTATCAGTGAGGTGTAAAACGTCGAGATTTGTAAAAATCTCGATTTTTTTTTTTTGCACGATTACAATACTTTCTCTATACTACGTATATACGAGAAAGTAAAAATAGTATACATTTCAAAACATATAGTATGCATTTCAAAACAAATGGTATACATTTCAAATCAATGTTATTTTTCACGGCTAATCGGAGGATTGAGTTAAAATATCTGCTGTGCATGAACACTTAATGTTCAGGGCGTATAGATATCTATTCAGGACATACATACATATTTAGTCATTCATTCAAGATATATATATATATATATATATATATATAATATATATATATATATATATATATATATATATATATATATATATATATATATATATATATATATATATATGTATATATAAAGGAAATAAAACTTTATATTTATGTTTTTAACAGGAGAATTCAGATAGGGACATAGGATTCTAAAGAAATTTTATTTTATTTTGTAATTTAACCTTTTTTTTTCAAACCCTCCGTAAATATTTGGGTTTCATAACATATCTGATCACGAATGTATTGTCCAGGAAGTTTTAAGTGAACTTTATCTGATCGTGTGTTAGGACTAGACAAAACATCCGGGGCAGGTGGGGGGGGGGGGACCACCTGTACATCCTAGCCCTCAGGTGGGGGGCGGGGGGGGCAGACCACCTCAGGTGTCCGGTCACGTGACTTTGACATGCTGGGAGATAATCCACGCACGTGCCAGACTTTTTACCAGGGTGGGGGTGGAGGTACAGTTAATTGCAACGGCCAACACCTAGTGACGTCACTGTGTTCACCAAATCGCCTGACCAGTGAGGTCGCTGGCGTCATTTAAAGATATGACCCGTATCGTCACTGACCGATGACGTCATTGAGACCGCACAAACCTCGAACCTGTGACGTAAGTGCGGCCATATAAACCAAACAAGTAACTTTGTTTACTATATTATTGTAGATCTATACATACATCAGTTGTCCAGCGATGTTACCCCCCACCCCCACCCACCCAGCCCGCTTTGTTAGGCTGCATATTTATCAGGGGAGGACATAATTATATCCCTTTGGTTGCGTGCGGCAAGACTAAGATAATTAATGAAAAGTAATTAAATACATTTTAGCATTTATTTTTCCCATCTATGTATTCTTTTCTTTTCTTAGTCGGTGTTAATGTAACCACAACACCAAAGGCGTAGACAGAGGGTGTCAGGGTGTTACACCCCCCCCCCCCCCATAATGAAAGCTGTTTCACAAATATTGGTGAAGGTAAATTCGTGTCACATGTTTTTGTTTACATGTTCAACATTCTGCGTCTGATATTATAATGTGTTAGCGCTCAGTAGTGTTTGCTCCTTTATGGATTGAAATTTATATATATATATATATATATATATATATATATATATATATATATATATATATATATATATATATAGTGAGCATAAGAAAATTGTACTGTCCCCCCCCCTCCCCCTCCATTATTTCACTACATAGCGCGTCATGTCAATGAAATGTTATTTCTTTACAAATTATGATTTTTTTTTATTGTATCAGCTTTTAAAATGACTTTTGACGTTTTATTTTAGTCCTATCGACGTACTGTATCGTTCACCAAAGGGCAATGTGAAAAAAGTTCCATGGTTATTTTATTGTGAAGCTCTCTGGGACGGGTGTGCATGAAACATCCGGGAGGGGTGCGGGGCGGACACTGGTTAATGTACATATATATATATATTATATGCTGTTTAAATTATATATATTTTTGGGAAGTTGAGGAGGGAGGGGGTACATTCCTGGGGGGGGGGGGAAACTGGTGCCTAGTACTGCAATTGTTATAAAAATAAGTTTAATTTCCAAATATCATTTCATTTCTCATTGGGAATAAAAACTGAACACATTTTTATTTAAAATAAGTTTCGTTTCAAAATAGCAATACATTTCTCATTGGAAATGAAAACTAAATATATCTGATTTTTTTTTAAACTGTAGTTATTTGATTACACACGTTTAGTATGTCTCTTGCCATTTAATTGGTCCTGAAATTAATCATTATTTTGACCTTTATATAGAGCATAGAGAAAGCATTGTAGCCGTGCTGAATAATTAACAGATTTTTTTTGAAGGAGGGTAAAATCATATCAGGTCTATGATCGCCGTGGATGATGTTTGCTTCATACATACATCTATATTTAATATTTAAATAGTCAATAATATTATACGTCGGACTTGCATTAGAGAATATTCATTAATAAAATAGTTTTCTGACTGTAGGATACAGTTGTTTAAGACCCTTTCTGCTTATTTCCCTTGTTTTAATATACCGTTTATCAAAGGTCGATGAAGAATAAAATATCAAGGCATAAAGGCCTTCTCCTTCTAGGCTAGGCCAATATCAGATTGTTCTTGTACCTAACGAAATACTTCTTCAAGTTTAATTCCTCGTTAACTTGATCTAAGTTTATTGTACAATAAATCTATTTCGATACAGAGGCCAACTAGAAGTTTCTTCAAACTAAACCTCAAGTTATTTTAAGATGAGATAAACTCATCTTAATTATTATAAGTAATGAATAAATATTTGTTTACAAGTCAGACTTGTATTAGAATATATTTATAATCAAACTTGAAGTTTTCTGTACAAAAATATAGTTCGATACCGAGACTAACTAAAGATGTCACTAAGTTATTTTAAGTTGATAGAAACTCATCTTAATTATTATAATTATTAATTAGTGGATAAAAATTTGTTTACAAATCGGACATGTATTAGAATATTTTTATTAAAAGAAAACCTCTAAAGTTAGCGTGGAATAAATCTAGTTTTACGTTGGTCAAAGCTCATCTTAATTATTATAATTAGTGGATAAATATTTGTTTACAAGTTTAACATACAATATATATATTTTAAAAACTCGAAAGTTAGAGTTAAATAAATCTAGTTCGTTGTTCGGGCTAACGAACTCTTCCTTTTAACTAAAACTGTCTTCGTGATATTTTAAGTAGAGCTAAACTCGTCTTCAGTATTATTATAATTAGTTAATAAGTATTTTTATAAGTCAAACTAATATTAGAATATATTTGTGATCAAATTGCAAGCTTACTGTGGCATAAAACAATGTCTAGTAGACCAATTACTTGATACGACTCAGGTAAACTTTCAACTTTCCACTCGTTGAAGTCCCGGCTAGGCTGAACGAACCAGCGCAAGTTGTAAAAGTTTGGAGAGGTTCACCAGCGGACCACTTGCCATTGTGAGTCTGTCTGTGTCAACACAGGGCTACAGGTGTGTCACGTGTGTCGTTGTCTCACCGGTCACAGGTAGAAGGGGGTGGGGAGGGGGAGGGTGGAGTGGCGCAGGGGAACACTGTTTACGTGGCGTATAACTGGAGCGTATATTTAACCCATAAATGACCCATGCGTGGAGTGTATATTTAACCCATAAATGACCCAGGTGTATAACTGGAGCGTATATTTAACCCATAAATGACCCAGACGTATAACTAGAGCGTATATTTAACCCATAACTGACCCAGGCGTGGAGTGTATATTTAACCCATAAATGACCCAGACGTATAACTAGAGCTTATATTTAACCCATAACTGACCCAGGCGTGGAGTGTATATATATAACATAAATGACCCTGGCGTGGAGTGTATATTTAACCCATAAATTACCCATGCGTGGAGTGTATATTTAACCCATAAATGACCCAGACGTATAACTAGAGCTTATATTTAACCCATAACTGACCCAGGCGTGGAGTGTATATTTAACCCATAAATGACCCATGCGTGGAGTGTATATTTAACTCATAAATGACCCAGGCGTATAACTAGATCGTATGTTTAACCCATAAATGACCCAGGCGTATAACTAGATCGTATGTTTAACACATAAATGACCCAGGCGTATAACTAGATCGTATGTTTAACACATAAATGACCCAGGCGTATAACTGGAGCTTATATTTATAAATATATTTATTTATTTATGACCCAGGCGTATAACTGGAGCTTATATTTATAAATATATTTATTTATTTATGACCCAGGCGTATAACTGGCGTGACTATTTATCCCATAAATGACCCAGGCTTATAAAAGGCTTGAATATTTAACCTAAAAATTACTCATGCAAGTTTTGACAAAGCGAATTATTTTTTGCTTGTTAAAAACTTGTTTGAAAAAGAATTTATTTTTATGTTGAAGGCGTCTCGTTTCAACATAATTATGTATCATATGATCTGATGTGTGTGTGTGGGGGGGGGGGGGGGAGGCGGACGGACGGGGGTTGGGGAACTTAAGTTCTTCCTTGTTTACCCTCAGTAAGGGGTCTCATAAAATAACGCTGATCCTGATCCCTTACTGTACAATATTAATTTTAACACTGCTCCTATTTTGTACAATCCTAATCCTAAACATGATCCCATATTGTACAATCCTAATCCTTACCCTGCTCCTATATTGTACAATCAATAAGCTAGGAGCTGTCAAGGTTAGCATTAGGATTGTACAATATAGAAGCAGGGTTACGATTATGATTGTGATTGGGCCTTAAGCTAGGGTCTGACTCAGTTATAACTTAGGGCCCATTTGTTTAAGTGCCATTAATTCTATTTTAATGGAGTCTTTAAGTTTTAGGGTTCTGTACTTTAGAGTTCTCTCTGTTTTATGGGCTTCTGTGTGTTTGGTCCCTATATTTTATACATCTCTGTATTTTAGGGGGTCCGTGTATTTTTTTGGCGTCTATGTATTTTAGGGGTATCTGTAGTTTAGCGGTCCCTGTATTTTAGATGCCCCTGTATTTTAGGGATCCCTTTACTTTAGGGGTCCTTGTGTTTTAGGGGTCCCTGTAGTTTAAGGTACCTTGTACTTTAGGGTCTTGTTTCAACCATTTACTCCGATAAACAACGGATGTTTGGTGGGGTGGGGGCAGAGGCGTAGCGACCCTTCCCGGCGCCCGTGGACAAACTTTTCGATTTACACCCCCCCCCCTCAAGATTTCGATTTGCACCCCCCTCAAACTTTCGATTTGCACCCCCCTCAAACTTTCGATTTGCACCCCCCTCAACCTTTCAATTTATTTTTCCAACCCATTTTGGCGCCCCCTAAGGTCGGCGCCCGGGGACATATGTCCACTGGGTGGTGGTCGTACTGAAAGAGCGCCCTTAGAGCCGGGGATGAAGAGGTGGACATATGATGCCAGCTCTATGGTCATGGGTCGTACACATATAACATACAAATAATGCGATACATGACATTATGTCAAACATGTCCCCTGTATGTCAGATTACCTCCGCCTGTCTTCATTTGTCCAAACTACGTCGCATGCAAAGTTACGCATTTGATATCTAACTCTAAATCAGCTCTTTATTCTAATCAACTCAATGGAATATCTATGTCTCTGTAGAGCCGGTGGTTTAAATTACAGATACGCCAGCTAAAGGCTTGCCAATCCGCCATGCCTAATTGTATCTTTGTACAATGGAGAGAAGGATTGTGCAGGTTAGAATTAGCATGGGGAGGGAACGGTGGTGGTAGTAGCGCTAGGTTATTGGGTTCGGAGGCGCTATCTAATCTTTGCAATAGGTTAAGTGTGTTGGGCGTTCGCAGTGTGGGATAGTGTGTGTTAAGGCTCGTATTGCGTGATGGTTATTGTGTGTTTGTGTAGGGGTTATTGTGTTGTTGTGTGAGGGATAATATGGTTCTGTGAGGGATATTGCGTGGTTGTGTGACGGTTATTGTTTTTTATATTATTAATATTATATATATATGTTACGGTACGGTCAAAGCCCGAAGTCGGCCAATGCTAGGATTGGCCGGCCAATCCTAGCATTGGCCGCACTTCGGGCTTTGACCGTAACATATATATATATATATATATATATATATATATATATATATATATATATATATATATATATATATATATATATATATATATATATATATATATATATATATATATATATATGAACTTGCGGACAAAAGATTTCAGAGACAAAATATCTCAGAATAAAGCAACACAAAATACCTAGGGGACTTAGGAAGACAAATATGTGTGTGTGTCCATGTATGTGTGTTTGAATTGCAAAACGTACACAGATAATTTATCTCCCCCAACGTAAGATAACTCACACCTTTAACTCTATTAAAAGAAAAGACAACAGCAGTGTCGAGCTTTGTGTCTATTGGCCTAAAAATCTGTCCCAACAGTTGTGCTGGTTCTGTTATTCTAGACCTTTCTAAAACTGCCAGACATTTCTTTGGATGGGGTACCACATGGTTAAACTAACAGCATGCTCTCAGACCAAACGGTCCGTAGGGCAGAGGAAGTAGAGTTCCTATATTGTTTTCCCAGAAAACGTTGGGATTTTGTCAGTTTTGTCTTGTCGCTTTTCTTTGTAACGGCTTAAGTTGGGTACCAATAAAAGCTGAGTGGACTCAAAGATTTGGAAACAGAATCGACCTCGAGACTTACTCGCTAGTTGTTGAGTACTCTACCATTTGACCACGTCTTTCCTCCCTATGTTTGCTGGTAGTGTCCACCGCATTAGTTTAAAAACTTTGAACAACTTTCAAATCAAAACGAACACAAATTACAATTTTTTAACATTTAAATTTGATTTATATTTTCATTAATCAACTGATGCTAATTAAGGCGAGGTCCCTTATGACGTAACATCCGCACATATGTGTGCAGTGTGGGTGTACACGGTAATACACACAACGCAACACCAGCTAGGACTATGTCCTGTGGGTGTACACGGTAATACACACAACGCAACACCAGCTAGGACTATGTCCTGTGGGTTAGTGCCCAAAAGTCCTGAGGAATAAAAAGCCCATAGCAGCTAGTTGTCCGCTGGCTTGTTGCTGGTTCTTGTGATCTGCATCTCCTTGTAGAACGCTTCCACGGTCTTTTCCTGGAACCTGTGACACACAAACACACACATACATATTTAATACACACACATATGTAAAACACAAACACACACACGGCTGTAATACACACACATATGTAAAACATAAACACACACATACATATTTAATACACACACATATGTAAAACACAAACACACACATCTGAAATATAAAAAACATCTGTACAACACAAACGTACACATTTGCAAAACACAAATACATGCGAAAAATACAAACACACATATCCAAAGGACATACACACATATGAAAACACAAACACACATATTCTCAAATAGAAATCAGTCAGCTGTCAATATTCACTAAATGTCGGTCCCTCATGAGTTAGACATAAGGATGAGGTGACAAAGCCATACTAGGTTTTCAAACAGTTTTAAAGTCTTGTAACGTTGGAAGACTATTGGAAGCATGAGGATACACCATCTTACTTGGTGAAATTAAATGACCCTTTGAACCTTTCAAGATAGTTAATACTCGGTCAAGTTAACTGACCATTTGATAACTCAAAAAAGGTAATTCTTAGTCAAATTAAATGACCATTTAAAAACTGCAAGCTTTTTTGAGACACCTTCAAATCAGAGTGCTTAAAACCATAATAATTTATATCACGAAGCTCTCTCTCTCTCTCTCTCTCTCTCTCTCTCTCTATATATATATATATATATATATATATATATATATATATATATATAGGCTATATATATATAGCCTATATATATATATATATATATATATATATATATATATATATATATATATATATATATATATATATATATATATATATATATATATATATATATATATATATATATATATATATATATATATATATATATATATATATATATATATATATATATATATATATATATATATATATATATAAACAATACGATAATGAAAGCCGAACTGACTTTGCCCAGTACTCCCTCTTCTGAAGGTCCTTGATTAAGGTCATCTCATCCGTAGGGATGTAGCTACATGACCTCAGGTAGGACAACATCACGGGGGTCGCATTCTCCATGAAAAATTTCTTCGAGATGAGTATCATCTCAGCACCCTCGCTCACCTGCAAACACACGTGCTCTGTGTCAAGGTCATGTAAAGGTCAGCAATTAACTGTCTGTAGATTATTATGTTTTCTAGCATATAGTTTGCAGGGGCCCTAACGGTAAAATTTACTTTCAGCTTGTGCCTGCTATGATTTGGCATGAAAATGACAAAAAGACATAAATAACAAAAGCGGAAAACTCATGTCTTCTTGCAGAAAATGACTTTAAAAAATTCATAAAAAACGTTTTAATAACAAGCTTTTACTATAAAGAAAATCGTGGGTCACTTTAGTACTTTAGTACCTATTGGATACCTTTACTAATATTTGAGAAGAGACCCACGCTTTTCTTTATAGTAATTTAAATAGTAGTGTATAATTTATTTTCTACTTTTTAGTGCATCATTACATAAAAGCTTGTTATTAAAACGTTTTTTATGAATTTTTTTTTCAGTACTTTACATGTTTTATTTGCAATAGTGTTACAAGACTAAAAACCATTGCGCGTCTATTGAACGTGATAGCGCAGCTATTAAACCTGATTGAACGTGATGACGTATGTGGTGTGGTTGGATAGACATGCCTACTAATTGGGTCCAAATTTTAATTAATTCATAAAAATTAATTAGGCATCCAATTAAGTCAAATTTAGATTCAGATTGCATTGTCTTCATGTCTTGACCCACGTGCCAACCGTGAATCGTATCGATCAAGTAGAACTGTCCGAATTTTCACTCCTGCGTTTCCATCTAGACTGACGACAGACAGACTGTCGACAGAATGTCGACAGAGGAAGTGCGTTAAATAAAAGCTTGTAAAAAAAATTCATAAAAAACGTTTTAATAACAAGCTTTTATGTAATGATGCACTAAAAAGTAGAAAATAAATTATAGACTACTATTTAAATAACTATAAAGAAAAGCGTGGGTGTCTTCCTTAACATTAGTAAAGGTATCCAATAGATACTAAAGTGACCCACGCTTTTCTTTATAGTTATTTAAATAGTAGTCTATAATTTATTTTCTACTTTTTAGTGCATCATTACATAAAAGCTTGTTATTAAAACGTTTTTTATGAATTTTTTTTCAGTACTTTACATGTTTTATCTACAATAGAGTTACATGACTAAAAACCATTGCGCGCCTACTGAATATCACGTTCAGTAGGCGCGCAATGGTTTTTGAACGCAGCCATTACGTGGTCGTGATGGCGCAGCTATTGATGACGCGTGTGGTGTGGTTGGCTAGACATGCCTACTAATTCGGTCCAAATTTTAATTAATTCATAAAAAATCAATTAGGCATCCAATTAAGTCAAATTTAGTTTCAGATTGCATTGTCTTCATGTCTTGACCCACGTGCCAACTGTGAATCGTGTCGGTCAAGTAGAACTGTCCGAATTTTCACTCCTGCGTTTCCGTCTAGACTGACGACTGACGACTTACGACAGACAGAGGAAGTGAGTTAAATAAAAGCTTGTAAAAACCCATGAACTTTTGGTAGAAATGGCAATGAGCACAGTTAATTCTGATGACAATGACCAAAAGATCATTTAATTTTTGGAAAGTGATCAAAGCCCACTTGATTTTAGAGAAATAGCACACACACGCACGCACGCACGCACGCACACACACACACACGCACACACATACTAGATTGCAGAACAACAAAAAGCCAAACAAATAAAATTCTCTTAAATATTCCCGCAGTTTAGTTTTTATATGAGGTAATACAGAAATAAAAGAAACGGCTATGGAAATTGAATCTACCTGCGAGAGTAATCGAGTACTGAGTACTTAAATATTAAGACTAATCGAATCTACCGAGTAATCGAATCTTTAAAGTAATCGAATCTTCAGTCAAATCTAACAGAGTAATCGAATTTACACTGTCATTGAATCTGAAGAGTAGTCAAAATTACCAAGGCCATTGCACAATCTGAAGGTTCCTTTGCATCGCCAAAGTCAAGGTCATCTAGTCCCTAGTTCAAGAACGAAAAATGACTTTTCATTATTGGGAAAAGTTTGGTGAAAACAGATATCTTTGACATAACCTACTACAGGCAAAAGTCTGACAAAGATATCAGACGGACAAAACTTCTACAAAGACATCAGACAAAAAGTTTTACATAGACATCAGACAAAAGTCTGACAAAGACATCAGACAAAAGTCTTACAAAAATATCAAACAGACAAAAGTCTTACAAAGAGATCAGACAGACAAAAGTCTTACAAAAAATTCAAACAGACAAAAGTCTTACGAAGTCATTAGACAGACAAAAGTCTTACAAAAAAGTCAGACAGACAAAAGTCTTACAAAGACATCAGACAGACAAAAGTCTTACAAAAAATTCAGACAGACAAAAGTCTTACGAAGTCATCAGACAGACAAAAGTCTTACAAAAACATCTGACAGACAAAAGTCTTACGAAGTCATCATACAGACAAAAGTCTTACAAAAACATCTGACAGACAAAAGTCTTACGAAGTCATCATACAGACAAAAGTCTTACGAAGTCATCAGACAGACAAAAGTCTTACAAAAAATTCAGACAGACAAAAGTCTTACAAAAACATCAGACAGACAAAAGTCTTACAAAGACATCAGACAAAAGTCTTACGAAGTCATCAGACAGACAAAAGTCTTACAAAAATATCTGACAGACAAAAGTCTTACAAAGACATCAGACAAAAGTCTTACAAAGACATCAGACAGACAAAAGTCTTACAAAGACATCAAACAGACAAAAGTCTTACAAAGACATCAGACAGACAAAAGTCTTACAAAAACATCCGACTCCCGCAGCATCTTGACACAGACCCACGTCTTCTTCTGAGTCTGTTTCAGGTTCGGGTTCACCAGAACTTTCTCGATCGACGCTGCTTTCAAGAGAGGGGAGGGGGTGGACGCTGCACTTTCACTGGGGACCACACAGGTGTTGATGACGTAACAAAAACAGGTTTTGATGACGTAATAAAAACATGTACTGAACTGATGATGTGGTAAATATACATAGGCGGCGTTAAAAGTATTTGATTAAAGCAAGACAATTAACAAGAGACCACTTTTGCTTTAAACTGTAAGTGGATTTTCTTCAACAGTAGGCTGTAGCAGCAGTAATAACAGCTGTAGGAGCAGGATTAGCAGCTGTAGAAGCAGTGGAAGGAGCTACAGAAGCAGTAATAGCATTTGTAAGAGTAGTTGTAGGAGCGGTAATAGAAGCTGTAGGAGCAGTAATAGCAGCTGTAGAAGCATTGATAATCACCTTTCTAAAGTTTTGAGCGACTGGGCGATCGTCTTGCTCTTCATGCTAGAGACAAAGTTTTCCATCTGTAGGGGTAGGTAGGTGGGGTTTAGGTTTAGTTTTTGGTTTATTGTTAGGTTTAGGTTTAGGTTAAGTGTTAAGGTTAGTGTCACAGGCCTTTTCTCCTACCTATTTCATGACACACACTCAAAACAAAAATCAACCCTTGTTCCGTTAATTTCCATAATTTTATTGGTTCATAAGAGCATCGCATTCACTCCCAGACATCGCCATGTTGTTCGCGCGCTATCTACTTTCGCTTCCCCTCCTTTCGCGCATGCGCACACCCACACTATCTATATATATAATTCTCCTCTGGGAGCCGCTAGAAAACAAGCTGTAAACGCCCTCCCTACCTCCCCACCCCTACATGATCTTAGTGAGCTGTGTTCACTCTAAATGTTTACAAGCAGAGCCAAAGATTTTAAACGTAAGGGGGGGGGGGGGGGGAAGGGGGGTGTTATGGTCCTTAACGAGCTACTTATAGTGTTTTAAAGAAATATTTTCAGTGGCAGCGTTGGTACTGTCGAATTCACAAACACAAATTATGAATTACTGAAAAGTAGAAAATAAAATAACTAAATAGCGGCGTATGTTATGCCGCGGGCCGGCTCGTATTTTATATTTTATCTCGCCTTTTTAAGACACACACTTGCAACATACATTCTTATACATTTGACTGTTACAGTTAGGTTGTGTTTGTGGAGGCAAGGGTTAGTGTGAAGATTTCTATCAGTAGAAGTAGGCTGGTGGGGGCTAGGGTTAGGTTTAAGTTGTGTTTTTGGAGGTTAGGGTTAGAGTTGAAGGGTTCCATCTTTAAAAATGGGGGAGGGGGGTTAGGGTTAGGTCAGTTTGTTGAGGTAAAGATTAAAGATAGTCTTTCGTATGTAGAAAAATGTTGGGTTAGGTTTAGGGTTAGGTTATGTTTGCTGAGGTAAAGGTTTGAGATGAAGAGGTTCATTCTGTAGAAGTGAGTACATAGATGACTTTAGTAGGTAGATGGTGTAAAAGGTTAAGGGGTTTGTAGTGTTAGTGAAAGTGTGGATTAGATTTAGTTCATAGGTTGGAGATGTTAGGGTTAATTTCCTTGGTTGAAGTAAGACTTGGGCTACTATCACGAATGCAAGTGGTTTATTTACCCAAGTTATAAAACTACAATGTCCGTTAGTTCCCAAGTTGTAAAGCTACAATGTGCGTTTTTTAACCAATATATAAAGCTACAATGTGCTAGCTTCCCAAGTTATAAAGCTACAATGTGCGTTATTTACCCAAGTTGTAAAGCTACAATGTGCGTTATTTACCCAGGTTATAAAACTACAATGTGCGTTATTTACCCAGGTTATAAAACTACAATGTGCGTTATTTACCCAGGTTATAAAACTACAATGTGCGTTATTTACCCAAGTTGTAAAGCTACAATGTGCGTTATTTACCCAGGTTATAAAGCTACAATGTGCGTTATTTACCCAAGTTGTAAAGCTAGTCTAACTTGGATTCGCGAGGTTGCTACTGTAGCCTCAACAAACAGGAAGTGGGACTTCAGGGCACTTTTTTTTTTACATTTTTTAACCTGCTTCACATACTCGACTTACGTTACAGCATATTCCCTGAAACCACCTACATAGCAGACGCTAGGAGTGACAGGTTTAAAAAGGGAATAGTCTATTTAAGTAAACAAATTCCATCACCGTTTTGATGACGGTATAGGCATCAGATGCGTCACTCGCTCTGGGAATCTGATTCGACTTGCGTGATGATGGATGCATTACAACTACATGCATATAGAAAAGAAATATATATATATATATATATATATATATATATATATATATATATATATATATATATATATATATATGGATATATAGATATATATATATGGATATATAGATATATATATATGGATATATAGATATATATATATGGATATATATATGGATATATATGGATATATATATATGGATATATATATATATGGATATATGGATATATAGATATATATATATATATGGATATATATATGGATATATATATGGATATATATATGGATATATATATGGATATATATATATATATATATATATATATATATATATATATATATATATATATATATATATATATATATATATATATATATATATATATATATATATATATATATATATATATATATATATATATATATATATATATATCCATATATATATATATATATATATATATATATATATATATATATATATATATATATATATATATATATATATATATGTGTGTGTGTGTGTGTGTGTGTGTTTGTGTGCATAAGCACACAGATACAGATATACAGACATACAGACATTCAGACATACACACATACACACATACATACAGACATACAGATATACCAACATACCGATACACAGATATACAGACATTAAGACATATAGACATACAGACAAACAGAAATACTAAGAATATAACTACAGATACTGCGCAGTTGACGCGTGTCGCAGTTGCCATGTGTCGCAGTTGTCGTGTGTCGCAGTTGCCGTGAGCTACAGTTCACGGGTGTCAGAGTGTGTCAGGACACGGGCTGAACTTACTATTAACTTTTTTGACGTCTGACGTTTTCCTCGCGGACCCACGCTGACCTTCCCCGCGACCTTCAGACCCAGCTTTGCTAACTCTCCGGATATTCTGCCCCGGTATTTTCAAAATACCCGCCTTCTGCGTCACCGACATCCGTTTGATCTCCGGAAGTTTCAGTCCTTGCACGCGGGATGACTTCCGTCGCGGGAGTTTGCCGTCGTTGGTTGATAAAAACTTCTCCGATTGGTTCGCGTTTTCGTTTTCTTCCGGCGCGTCTGATTGGTTGACTTGACTGACGGCGCTGATGGCGGGACTGAGGTTGGTGCTGCCCGGGGAGTGGTTTAGGGTGAACCCGGGGGACTGGCTGTGGGTGAAGGGGCTGTAGCTGGGGGTGATGTTGGTCGTGCTGAGGTCTGACCCGGGGCTGTCCCCGAGGTCGTCCCTCGGGTTGACGTAAATGTCCTCGGGACTGTAGATGACGATGGGTTCGTCTTCATTGGGACTGGCGCTGATACTGATTATGGGCGTGTAGTTGTTTATTCCTACAATAGAAGCCTAGGGAACAAATTAGTGTAGTTGTTTATTCCTACAATAGAAGCCTAGGGAACAAATTAGTGTAGTTGTTTATTCCAACAGTTATTTATTCCTACATTTGTTTATTCCTACATTTGTTTATTCCTACATTTGTTTATTCCTACATTTGTTTATTCCTACATTTGTTTATTCCTACATTTGTTTATTCCTACATTTGTTTATTCCTACATTTGTTTATTCCTACATTTGTTTATTCCTACAGTTGTTTATTGCTACAGTCGTTTATTCCTACATTTGTTTATTCCTACAATTGTTTATTCCTACATTTGTTTATTCCTACAGTCGTTTATTCCTACATTTGTTTATTCCTACATTTGTTTATTCCTACATTTGTTTATTCCTACAGTCGTTTATTCCTACATTTGTTTATTCCTACAGTTGTTTATTCCTACAGTCGTTTATTCCTACAGTTGTTTATTCCTACATTTGTTTATTCCTACAGTTGTTTATTCCTACATTTGTTTATTCCTACATTTGTTTATTCCTACATTTGTTTATTCCTACAGTTGTTTATTCCTACATTTGTTTATTCCTACATTTGTTTATTCCTACATTTGTTTATTCCTACAGTTGTTTATTCCAACAGTCGTTTATTCCTACAATAGTTTATTCCTACATTTGTTTATTCCTACATTTGTTTATTCCTACAGTTGTTTATTTATGTAATAGAAGCCTAAACAAAAAGAGCAGATTATTATCTAATCTTTAAAGTGTTTTTTTTACGAACAGTTTCATGTTGTGGTCAAAGATCAGTGTTGCAGTGCTTGGATTACCTGATTAAGATTAACTAGCGGATTACCTTAGGCAGCCTAATCCTTGATCGGGAAGAATCCTGGTGAAATGTATAGGGACATTGTCAGTAGGTGGGACATCAATGGAAGCACAGTAACAGGACATCAACAGAAGGACATTAGTTTAGGACATCACTAGACCAAACTGCCCCTCCCCCTGACCAAACTGCCCCTCCCCTGACCAAACTGCCCCTCCCCCTGACCAAACTGCCCCTCCCCTGACCAAACTGCCCCTCCCCCTGACCAAACTGCCCCTCCCCCTGACCAAACTGCCCCTCCCCCTGATCAAACTGCCCCTGACCAAACAGCCCCTCCCCCTGACCAAACTGCCCCTCCCCCGACCAAACAGCCCCTCCCCCTGATCAAACTGCCCCTGACCAAACAGCCCCTCCCCCTGACCAAACTGCCCCTCCCCCTGACCAAACAGCCCCTCCCCCTGACCAAACTGCCCCTCCCCTGACCAAACTGCCCCTCCCCTGACCAAACTGCCCCTCCCCCTGACCAAGCTGCCCCTCCCCCTGACCAAATAGAAATTCTTGAGTTCAGATCCTGGAATCTTCTACGTAGGAGTTTCCTGAGCCAACCCAGCTCTGATGAGTACCTGACTCACGTTAGGGGCATTAACGGCGGCTAGGCATATAACTGTTTGTCGATGCCACGGAAAGGGGTGAACTCTACTTCATCTGGCCTATGGATCGTTAGGCCCGAAAGTGTATTTCTACTTATAGGAGGACAGCAACATAATATAAATAGGGCATAATTAATTGGACAAGAGGACACCAACAAAGGACATCAATATAAGGCTTTCGTACAAAACATATAGCCCCTTTTTCTGTTTTACACATAATAAATTAACTTTTTTTTTAAATAGCTCTTAAATGGTAAGGGTATTATCAAAATGTAAGTTTACAAAATAGGACCCGATAAAATAGGGCAGCAAACAAAGGGTGATGTCTACAGAACAGAATCGTAGAAAAATAAGAAATCAAATGCGACGTGGTGTAAAATAAAAATAAAATAGAAGCACAATATCTGGAAAAACATCAAATTAACTGATTACCATAAGATCAAATAAATTGATTACACGGTTCTTAATGGCGTCACTAGGTCGGGTGTCATCTGATGCGGTAACTGAGGGTGTCACCCCACCTCCTCCCAACAATTTAACATTTTCGGTTTGGTGTCACCCCTCCGCCCCCCTACCATTTATCTTAACTGAATAAAAGATTGTTTTGACAGTAAGTTTTAAGATGTTTCGTTTTGGTGTCACTTCCTAAATGGTGTCACCCGGTGCGGACCGCACCCCCACGCCCCCACCTAGTGACGCCACTACTGATACTGGTGTTTGTTTTTTTTTTACCCTTTTTGGAGAATCGCGTTGTCGTTTTTTCTTTTCTGAAGATTGATGAAAAAAACACAAAACGCATATTTAGAGCAGAACATGACAGGAGCAGGGCATGACAGGAGCAGGGTAGGAGCAGGGTAGGACAGGAGCAGGGTAGGAGCAGGGTGGGACAGGAGCAGGGTAGGAGCAGGGTGGGACAGGAGCAGGGTAGGAGCAGGGTGGGACAGGAGCAGGGTAGGAGCAGGGTGGGACAGGAGCAGGGTAGGAGCAGGGTGGGACAGGAGCAGGGTAGGAGCAGGGTGGGACAGGAGCAGGGTAGGAGCAGGGTGGGACAGGAGCAGGGTAGGAGCAGGGTGGGACAGGAGCAGGGTAGGAGCAGGGTGGGACAGGAGCAGGGTAGGAGCAGGGTAGGACAGGAGCAGGGTAGGACAGGAGCAGGTTAGGACAGGAGCAGGGTAGGACAGGAGCAGGGTAGGACAGGAGCAGGGTAGGACTAGAGCAGGACAGGGCGCATGACCTCAACTGTATAGCAACAAGACCTTCTGTATAACACATGATCTTAACTGTATGGCACCATAACCTAAACTTTATAACAACATGACCTCAACTGTATACCAACAAGACCTTCTGTATAACACATGACCTTAACTGTATGACATCATGACCCCATGTTGTATCACACAACAGCACTTACCTTTAACTGGTGGGAGCAAAACTTTCAAGCACTTGTGCGATTTGTTTTTCGGCGGTGCTTTTTTTATTGAGGCCAGCACCCTACATATTCCCTGCCAGTAAGTTAGTATTTAATTAGCACTTTAATTAATTATCTTTAATTAGTGTTGTAAAACTACATTATGTAACAAAGAGACGAAACAGGACCAGTCACCTCCATCAAACCCCTCAACCTCATCCAAAGATCTCACCCCCCCCCCCCCCCACTCTGAGACAGACCCATCCTCCGACCCACGACCCCTTAACAATGAGACCCATCTATCCTCCCCGACCCCCCCCCCCTACAATAAGACAGACACATCCTCCCCCTTGGATACAGACCCATCCCCCTTCCCCCCCCCCCCCGCCCCCCGAAGACTCTATGGGACACATGTAACCCACCAACCCCCCCTCAACTTATTGAAGACTTACAGACACATGTAACCCACCACCCCCATCAAAAGACCCACTTATTGAAGACTTACAGACACATGTAACCCACCAACCCCTCAAAAGACCCACTTTTTAAAGACTTACAGACACATGTAACCCACCAACCCCTCAAAAGACCCACTTATTGAAGACTTACAGACACATGTAACTCACCAACCCCTCAAAAGACCCACTTATTAAAGACTTACAGACACATGTAACTCACCAACCCCTTAAAAGACCCACTTATTAAAGACTTACAGACACATGTAACCCACCAACCCCCATCAAAAGACCCACGTATTGAAGACTTACAGACTTGACGACATAGATGAACTCTGAAGCGGACGAATGTTTCGTGATGAGGGTACCTCGCCTGTAGGAGAATTACGTTTTATTATATTCGAACTCAAACAATAACATGTATAAAAGGGCTACCTGTTATAACTTAGGTAACAAAAACATGTAAGAGAAGGCTGCCTGTCAGGGGCGTAGCGAGGGGGGGGGGGGCGGGGGGTGCGGACCGCACCGGGTGACACAATCTAGGGGGGTGACACCAAGGCAAAAAATAGCAAAATATATAGCGAGGGGGGGGGGGGTGCAAATCGAAAGGTTGAGGGGGGTGCAAATCGAAAACTTGAGGGGGGGGGGGTGCAAATCGAAAGTTTGAGGGGGGGGGGGTGCAAATCGAAAACTTGAAAGTTTGTCCCCGGGAAGGGTCGCTACGACTCTGGGGGGTGACACCATTAAGTGCCGCACCGGGTGACACCCGACCTCGCTACGCCACTGCTGCCTGTAATACTTTGTATTACAAAACAGGTATAAAAGTTACCTGTAATATTTTGTTAAAAAAAACAGTTAAGAAAGGACTACCTGTTATAACTTAGGTAACAAAAACAGGTAAGAAAGGGCTACCTATAATACAACAAAAACAGGTAAGAATGGGCTACCTGTTATAACTTAGGTAACAAAAACAGGTAAGAAAGGGCTACCTATAATACAACAAAAACAGGTAAGAATTGGCTACCTGTTATAACTTAGGTAACAAACAAAAAAAAACAGGTAAGAAACGGCTACCTGTTATAACTTAGGTAACAAAAACAGATAAGAAAGAGCTACCTGTAATACAAAAAAACAGGTAAGAAAAAGCTACCTGTAATAAAAGACAATGACGTTGCCTTCTGAATTCTCGATGAGTTGTTCCATTGGAAAATATTTCATAAAGTCCATCTGGCTATAGTTATTAAAGAAATTCACAAGTTTTTAGTTGACGTGACCTTTTTCATGAAATTAATGACGGTAATTAGTTATTTAAACACTTTATAAAATTAATGATAATGTAGTAAATTTTTGAACAAGTCGTGACATTGATCAAGGTAATAAACTATTTTATTAATTCATGACATTAATTACATTAATTACATTAATTAATTATTTGAACAATTCTGCACAATAATGCTGGTGATAAATTATTTAAATGAATAATGACTTTAAATGAGGTTAACAAACATTACTCAATGACATTAATAAAGGTAATAAACGTGATTTCGGTCACGTGTTGTTTTTTTTTGTGTGACGTAAATATGGTCATTAAAGATTTCATCGCGTTGTGTCATAATAGGGCTGGTAAGTAGGTCACCAACGAGTTCTATGGCTCATGCAGGTTTTATTGAGCCGTAGAGCTGGTTTTGGTGACCTACTTACCAGCCCTATTAGCTACAGTACCTGAATATGAGCCTCACCTGGCTGACAAAGTCTCACCTAAGCTAACAAAGTCTCACCTGACTGACAAAGTCTCACCTGACTGACAAAGTCTCACCTAAGCTAACAAAGTCTCACCTGACTGACAAAGTCTCACATGACTGACAGTCTCACCTGGCTGACAGTCTCATCTTGGTGACAAAGTCTCATCTGGCTGAAAAAGTCTAACCTTGGTGACAAAGTCTCACATGGCTGACAGTCTCACCTGATTGACAGTCTCACCTGACTGGCATAGTCTCACCTGACTGACATAGTCTCACCTGACTGACATAGTCTCACCTGACAAAGTCTCACCTGACAAAGTCTCACCTGACTGACAAAGTCTCATCTGCTGACAAAGTCTCACCTGACAAAGTCTCACCTGACTAACAAAGTCTCACCTGCTGACAAAGTCTCACCTGACAAAGTCTAACCTGACTGACAAAGTCTCACCTGCTGACAAAGTCTCACCTGACAAAGTCTCGCCTGACTGACAAAGTCTCATCTGCTGACAAAGTCTCACCTGACAAAGTCTCACCTGACTAACAAAGTCTCACCTGCTGACAAAGTCTCACCTGACAAAGTCTAACCTGACTGACAAAGTCTCACCTGCTGACAAAGTCTCACCTGACAAAGTCTCACCTGACTGACAAAGTCTCACCTGCTGACAAAGTCTCACCTGACTGACAAAGTCTCACCTGTCTGACAAAGTCTCACCTAAGCAGACAAAGTCTCACCTGTCTGACAAAGTCTCACCTGGCTGACAAAGTCTCACCTGACAAAGTCTCGCCTGACTGACAAAGTCTCACCTGACAAAGTCTCACCTGACTGACAAAGTCTCAACTGACTGACAAAGTCTCACCTGACTGACAAAGTCTCACCTGACTGACAAAGTCTCACCTGACTGACAAAGTCTCACCTGACTGACAAAGTCTCACCTGACAAAGTCTCACCTGACTGACAAAGTCTCACCTGACAAAGTCTCACCTGACTGACAAAGTCTCACCTGACTGACAAAGTCTCACCTGACAAAGTCTCACCTGACTGACAAAGTCTCACCTGACTGACAAAGTCTCACCTGACTGACAAAGTCTCACCTGACTGACAAAGTCTCACCTGACTGACAGTCTCACCTGTTTGACAAAGTCTCACCTGACAAAGTCTCACCTGACTGACAAAGTCTCACCTAAGCAGACAAAGTCTCACCTGACTGACAAAGTCTCACCTGACAAAGTCTCACCTGTCTGACAAAGTCTCACCTGAGCAGACGAATGTGGTCCGGGTTCTCGTCCTCCGAGTTGGTGAAGTTGAAGATCCTGTAGTAGTCGTCGATGTTGACGGACAGGATGGTGCACTTCTCCATGGACGTGACGGAGTAGTTGCGGTTGATGCGGTCGCAGATGCCTTCTTCCTGTCACGTGATGGTGAGGCAAGGGTCAAATGGGGTTAGGGTCAACTAGTGCTAAGGTAAACTGGGGTCAAGGTCAGCTAAGGTAATGGTTTGTTGTGGCTTGAGTCAGCTAGGGCTAAAGTCAGCTGGGGTTAGGGTCAACTAGGGTTAGGGTCTACTAGGGTTAGGGTCAACTAGGGGCTAAGGTCAGCTGTGGATAGTGTAGGCTGAGGAAAGGGTCAGTTGTGGGTCAAGGTCAGCTGAGGAAAGGGTAAATTGGGGCTTGGTCAGCTGGGGTTAGAGTCAGTTGGGGTCAAGGTCATCTGAGGCATGGGTCAGTATGGGTCAAGGTCAGCCGCGGCTAGAGTCAGCTGCGGTCAATGTCAGTTGAGGCATGGGTCAGCGCTGGGGCTAAGGCCGGAGGCGTCAAGGTTAGTTAGTGATAAGGTGAGGCAATCAAAGCAGGCATTACCTCAAACATAAAGAAATACTACACCAAACAAAGAAATACTACACCAAACAAAGAAATACTTACACCAAACAAAGGAATACTTACACCAAACAAAGGAATACTACACCAAACAAAGGAATACTACACCAAACAAAGAAATACTACACCAAACAAAGAAATACGTACACCAAACAAAGAAATACTACACCAAACAAAGAAATATTTACACCAAACAAAGGAATACTACACCAAACAAAGAAATACGTACACCAAACAAAGAAATACTACACCAAACAAAGGAATACTACACCAAATAAAGAAATACTTACACCAAACAGAGGAATACTTACACCAAACAAAGAAATACGTACACCAAACAAAGAAATACGTACACCAAACAAAGAAATACTTACACCAAACAAAGAAATACTACACCAAACAAAGAAATACTACACCAAACAAAGAAATACGTACACCAAACATGTCATCCTTCTCGAAGATCTTTAACACGGAGTACCTGGCGTGGTGATCGAACAGTGGCGAGCCATTCAGCTTGACCGCTACAGCTGGTGACGTGGACAGCACATTTATTTATAGATATAAATAGTTACTTATAGCAAACGTTTTAATTTTTACTCGATTCTTCATATTTTCACATTTTACTTGCTTCGTCCGTCATGCATCGAAACTTACAAACGAAATTTCAACCACTACTACCGAACCGATTCGTTTCAAAATCGGCATTCTGAATCTCTTCTACCCTTACCTCTGCCTGTGATGAGGAAATAAAAGCTGTCAGCTACGTGACCTTCGCGGATGATGACCTTGTCACCAGGTATCCTGAAAGTAGAGCAAGCAGAATTTACATCACGATGACAAGCGCCATCGTTGTGATTCTCTGGGTAAGGCTTGGTTTAAGAAGGAGATAGAGCCAAGTATGGCTGATACTGCTAGAGTCTATAAATAAGACATCACATTGTTGAATCTGTAGCGATATATTTGCGACGTCACTATGTGTGCTCTAAGGAATGATAATATAATGACTTGTGACGTCATTGTGTGCGCGTGTGTATGTGTGTGTGAGGGAACGACGTCACGAAATTACTCACTCCATATACCAGGCAATCATGGCCAGTCTGTCCTGGTAACTTTTGGGTAGAATTGAAAAAGATCGAACGAATCGAAGGTCTTCTGCGACCTGGGAGTAAACAAACGAGAGGTCAGAGGTGATGTGTGCTGGGTCAAGGTCAGACGTCAAGGTCATGTGGGTCACGTGTTACGCCCAAGATCTCGTCACAAGAGTTAAAATACAACATGCAGCAAACAAACACGTGATACAGATACAACAAATACCCAAGCAGAAAGTCCACTATGAATTCCAAAAAAACAAATTCCATATTGACTCGCACAAGATCACCAATTATTCAGAGGCGTAGCGACCCTTCCCGGCGCCCGGGGACAAACTTTCGATTTGCAACCCCCCCCCCCTCGAACTTTTGATTTGAACCCCCCCCCCCCCCACCCTCAAACTTTCAATTTGTTTTTGGCGCACCCCTAAGGTCGGCGCCCGGGGACATATGCCCCCCCCCCACTACGCCTCTGCAAATACCACCACAACAACGCACAACAAATCCCACAACAGATACCCGGCAAAAATCCCCCCCCCCCCGGGGCCCCAGCCCCTACCTTGTGAGCCTCCTCCCACGTCCGGTAGTGCTCAGGCTTGCTGAGTGTAAACAGTGTCTCTTTACTCAACTCACGCTGTGAATGGCAAAATTTGATTGGTCAGGTTTACAACTAGGCCAAATTTGATTGGTTAGGTTTACAACTAGGCCAAATTTGATTGGTTAGGTTTAAAACTAGGCAAAATTTGATTGGTTAGGTTTAAAACTAGGCAAAATTTGATTGGTTAGGTTGACAACTAGGCAAAATTTGATTGGTCAGGTTTACAAACTAGGCAAAATTTGATTGGTTAGGTTGACAAACTAGGCAAAATTTGATTGGTTAGGTTTAAAACTAGGCAAAATTTGATTGGTCAGGTTTACAAGCTAGGCAAAATTTGATTGGTTAGGTTTAAAACTAGGCCAAATTTGATTGGTTAGGTTTAAAACTAGGCAAAATTTGATTGGTTAGGTTTAAAACTAGGCAAAATTTGATTGGTTAGGTTGACAACTAGGCAAAATTTGATTGGTCAGGTTTACAAACTAGGCAAAATTTGATTGGTTAGGTTGACAAACTAGGCAAAATTTGATTGGTTAGGTTTAAAACTAGGCAAAATTTGATTGGTCAGGTTTACAAGCTAGGCAAAATTTGATTGGTTAGGTTGACAAACTAGGCAAAATTTGATTGGTTAGGTTGACAAACTAGGCAAAATTTGATTGGTTAGGTTTAAAACTAGGCAAAATTTGATTGGTTAGGTTTACAACTAGGCAAAATTTGATTGGTCAGGTTTACAAACTAGGCAAAATTTGATTGGTTAGGTTTAAAACTAGGCAAAATTTGATTGGTTAGGTTGACAACTAGGAAAAATTTTAATGGTTAGGTTTACAAACTAGGCAAAATTTGATTGGTTGGGTTGACAAACTAGGCAACATTTGATTGGTTAGGTTTACAAACTAGGCAAAATTTGATTGGTTAGGTTGACGAACTAGGCAAAATTTGATTGGTTAGGTTGACAACTAGGAAAAATTTGAATGGTTAGGTTTACAAACTAGGCAAAATTTGATTGGTCAGGTTTACAAACTAGGCAAAATTTGATTGGTTAGGTTTACAAACTAGGCAAAATTTGATTGGTTAGGTTTACAAACTAGGCAAAATTTGATTGGTTAGGTTTAAAACTAGAAAAAATTTGATTGGTTAGGTTGACAACTAGACAAAATTTGATTGGTTAGGTTTACAAACTAGGAAAAATTTGATTGGGTAGTCCTACAAACTAGGCAAAATTTGATTGGGTAGGTTGACAACTAGACAAAATTTGATTGGTTAGGTTTACAAACTAGGAAAAATTTGATTGGGTAGTCCTACAAACTAGGCAAAATTTGATTGGGTAGGTTTACAACTAGGCCAAATTTGATTGGTTAGGTTGACAACTAAACAAAATAAACGGGTAGAAACCGGGGGGGGGGGGTGGAGTGATCTGGGCTGTGGTCTAAGCGGGGGGGGGGGGGTAAAGAATATTTTCGTCCGGTCAGGAAGTAAGTTACGGGAAGTCTCTACACCTGGCCTTCGTGTTCTAGGGGGTGGGGTGGGGGTGGGGGGGGGGGGGGGTTAAGAATATTCAACCAGTTAGTCTATGGGTAGTTGAAAGGCCAACTGGTAGAAAATAAAATGAAGCACGAATCTCCGGTCTATACAATGAAATATGTTTGATCAACTCACCCCTTTCTTGATGACCTTGAAATATGTTTGATCAACTCACCCCTTTCTTGATGGCCTTGAAATATGTTTTATCAAAGAAAAGTCCCGTCTCATCTGTGGACAGCTTGGCAGTTTCTTCGTTCCTGAACTTTTTGAACACTTCCCCGGTGGTGCGGGCACTGAGAGTGGGGGGGGGGGGAAGTTAAGATTTAGTTTCTCTAGAGTTAATGGAATTTGGTGCAACATCGTCAAAGTTTGAAGTCTCCGCAACAACAACATGCATTCGAGTATTGAGTAAGGGGGGAAAAGTGTGTGTGTGTGTGTATGTGCGTGTGTGCGCGTGTGTGTATGTGAGTATGTGACACACCAACTTATATGTGACATACCAACTTACATATGTGACACACCAACTTATATGTGACATACCAACTTACATATGTGACACACCAGCTTATATGTGACATACCAACTTACATATGTGACAGAACAATTTACATATGTGACATACCAACTTACATATGTGACAGAACAACTTACATGTGCGCAATAATCTGGAAAAACCTTAAAACTGCCCGGACCCGCCGAATCGCTTTTCTCCACTTGTGAGCGATCTGCGAACATGACGTCACGTCACATTACGTCATTCAAGGGGTCAAAGTTTAAACATTTGTGATTGGGTAACAGACAGCTAGCCATGGGCAGATAACTTTACAGCAGTGAGGATTACGGGGATATGATGTGGATTTGTATAGTTGGAAATCTCTGTGATATTTCAAATTGGCATATCATTATTATCATTTCGCCCTATGCTTTGTGGACTAACCCTATATTATATCCTTATACCTCACCCATATAGCTATTCCATATAGTTCAGACGTGTGACGGGGTGGCGAAGCGGTAGAGCGCTTGACTACCAACCCGAAAGTCCTGAGTTCGAATCCGGGTTCAAATCACTAGATCGTCACCAGCTGCGATGGGTACCTAACCAATGTTGTGGAAAATAAAGGCGCCTGGGCATAGTGCTGACCACTACCCCTTCTCATGCCGAGGTCACAGAAACAGGTGAACTCTACTTCACTTACCCCATGGACCGTCAGGTTCGAAAAGAGAACCTTACTATCGTAAGGCGTGGTCGAGTCGGTAAAGCTCATGGTTGCTAAACCAAAAAGTCTCGAGTTCGAACCCTCGGGCAGATGAGGCTCGTTAGCTGGGGACAGCCACTCTTCTAGGAGAGACAACTCCAAAATCAAACAACTGCTGCCTTGTAGTTTGTCCTTGGTTGGACAAAGGCTATGGAAGCAAATCCAAAAAGAAAAGCAGGCTGAAATCGGAGTCAATGGCCTCAATGGCGCATAACCAGTTGACGCGTATCCTTAATTGTGTTGGAGGGGGATAGTAGTATATTAGGTCCCTTTTGGGTCGCAGGCGCAGGCGCAGGGTGAGGGGAGCAGGAGCAGGAGCAGGAGCAGGAGCAATGGTTATATAGGAAAATACTCCTTGCCTGGGTGAGCCGCAGGAACAATGACATATAGCAAAATACTCACCCACCAGGCGCAGCCTGCCGCAGCCGCAGGAACAACGAGATATAGTAAAATACTCCCTGGGGGAGCAGGAGGTACACCGACATATAGTAAAATACTCACCCAACTGGGTGAAGGTGGGTGAGCCTGGGTGACCCGCAGGAACAATGAGATATAGTAAAATACTTACCCACCTGGGTGAGCAGGTGGGTGAGGGTGGGTGAGCCGCAGGTACAATGAGATATAGTAAAATACTCACCCACCCTAGGGTGGGTGAGCAGGAGCGGGAGTAGGTCAGTAGGTCACCACCGGTGACCTTGTGACGTAATTAGTAACATTATGACGTAATCATTGACCTAGTTACGTAATTTTAATGAGTTTTTTAATTAGTTTTAATGAGTTTTTTAAATTTTAATTAATTTTTGACCTAGTTACGTAATTTTAATGTTTTTTGATTAATTTGATTTTAATTACTTTGTTTGTGTTTTGTTTGTTTATTTTTTAATAAGTTTAATTAATTCGATTTTTATTTATTTTGTATTTGTTTGATTTTAATTATTTTAATTTTGTTTGTTTACTTGTTGTTTAATTTAATTACTTTGTTTATATTGTGTAATTTTTATTAACGAGTTACGTAATTTGATTATTTGTTTACTTTTTAATTATTTTTATTTTGTTTATTTTTAATTTAATTTTATTTTATTTTATAATTAGTTAAATTATTAGTTTGAATTCAATTTAATTACTTTGTTTATATTGTGTAATTTTTTTTATTGACTAGTTACGTAATTTGATTTTAATTACTTTTGTTTAATTTATTTATTTGATATATTTCTTTTCTTTGTTGTTTAATGTTGTTTATTTGTTTATTTGCTTGTATGTATGTTTTAAATAAAAGACTAACACTAACGTGGACTTTGTATAGGGACCATTCAGCAACACAATGAACGTTACAAAAATAGAACATCCATTTAACCACATCTGTTACTTATCGAGCCGGGATCCTTTGTTGACACGCGCTGAGCGTTTTTAATGGGTATTGTATCGATCGCACCCACGGGACCATCAAATGTTGTCCCATATAATTAAATTGGTTATGCTTCACCGCTTTTATGCGTTGTTCGCCGACCCGATCCCACCGGGGGGTATGGTAATTAACGCAAAGCCAGCGTTAAGTGTGGGAACATCTGTTACCAAGCGGGTGGTGGTGGTGGTGGTGGTGGTGGTGGTGGTGGTGGTGGTAAATTTGCTTAAGATTATAAACTTCAAGTTTTAAAAATCAACAACGTTATAGTACGTCGTGTCAAATGACACACCGTTTAAAATGTCTACATTTAAATTTCACCAAAATAATGATGTATAAACTAAATATGATAGGACGTTAGCATACATATCATTCAATCTAATCATTCTAAAGTACAAATCAATAATTTTTATTGATTAAGGGGCCGTGTTCATACTAGGGTCGGTGAAGTTTTCACCGAGGCAGATTTCAAAGTTGGGTGTGGATGTTTTTATTTGTATATGGAAAGATTTAAAAGTTTGGATGGGAACATTGTCACTTTTGAGAGTAAATGTCAATGTGTTTAGGAAGGGGATATTCATTGGGGAGTGGTGTCTACAAGTTATGTATCCCAGACTGTTGGAGTGGTTTCTAGGGGGTTGTGACATTAATTGAATAAATACTTGTCTGTAAGATTGTCCTACATCCTTTGTCTGTCCAAGGAATAGTGTGGGTAGTGGTACGATCTGTTTATCTATCGGTTGGTATTGAGGTTAGTGTGATGACGCAAGGTTGGATGGGAGAAGGGGGAAGGGGGAAGGGGTTGCTGACAAAGGGAAGGGGAAGGGCGAATTGTGATAATGGTTGGGGCACCGATCAGAGCGGTAAAGGGATATTTCCAACTCGGATCCAGTATTTTAAATGGTTGATTTTGATTCCAGTCATACATCTTATACAGGATACCGAGTTACATAACTTTCAGGGACAAGTAACAAAACAATAACTCACATCAAAAATTTAAAAAAGACCGTTTATATCATAAGTTTTTATTGAATAAAAACAACCCCATCAGCATACCGTCATGGTTCTGTCTTATTTACATATTTACATTAAAGTCTCGTTAAAGTCATGGTTGGTAAACTAAAGGTTCTTATATGTCTAGGGGAGATGTTGTCACATTGTCTGCGTCTACTCGTCTTTTAATGTAAAAGTAAGAAAGTGAGTTTCTGTGTTGGGTGTAAGTGTATATCCCCGTGTTGTATGCTCTGAACCCTGTGTTTGTCCCACCACTTGGTTCCTTTGTTGTGAGGACCTGCATGAAAGATTCTTTGCCTAGTGTGTTGTGATTTTTAGATAATCCTTTGGTTGATGTTTTATTATAGTCGCCAAAACAGTGGTACGTCTTGCTACATAAAGATACCATCCCATCCCCTTCATATTCTAGCTTAAACAACCCAGGTGTTCTCTTTTCATAAATTTTCCTAGCCCTACACTCTAGACAATGACTATCTACCGTGCCTTTGCCGCTTATAAATTGTGGTCTATGTGAGTCGCATACTTCTGAGGGGAACCATTTATCGTAAATGTCAAAAAACTCGTGTTCTAGTCCCGGTCTTACGGCTTTTAACAAGTCATCGGTACTTAAGGCTAAGTATAAACTGTCCGTGTCCATCTCACATAGCTGAAAGTCGGTTCTATCTATATATTTGTCTATAAAGTCATAATAAAATTCTAACATTCTAAGTTTCGCGTACTGATAAACGAAAAAGCCTATCTGAAGAGGGAGATCCCAAACTATCTTCTTTTTTAACGTTTCTACTTCGTAAACAGCGTCGGTAAGTTTTGTCATTTTTTTAAATCGTGGATTATTAATACAATCCCCTATATCCCTATCACTACAGTAGGTCATGTCCGCATGTCGTGTTTTATCCGTCAAAGTTTTACCATACGCCGCGTTTCCTAACAATTTCATTGTTTCACTAGTTATCGCGTATTTGTCGTCTATGTCCCCCTTTCTTCGCGCGTCTGAAACTGTATCCCCAAATGTCTTAAAACATGCAACCGGATTATATTCAACGACTTGATAAATTTTACTGACTACCAACCCATGATTTAAATACCACTTTAAAAGGGGGGTCGCTAATAAAATTTTCTCCCCTGTAAAGCTACCGATTAAAGTCCGTCTACCGCTAGTTAATAAGTTGTTATCGATCGCGTATTGTCTCATAAACGGTCCGATGTCATCGCGCGTAACGTCCGTATTTTTAAAAATTGGTGTCATCTCACTAAAATGTTCTCTTAAACTATCCGGTACTTTAATGTCGCATTCTATCAGTCCAAAACACGAGTCGTCTAAAACAGAATCGATGATCTGTTTTTCAGTCAGGGGCCATTTCTTACCATAGGTCGGTGTCGGTGTCTTTTGTGATTTGTCAATAGATTTTAAATAGTCTTTAATAGTTGGGTTCATTTTTTTCTGGTTCCCCCACTCACATTCCCACATTTCTACGACTTTAACGTCAACAGTATCTGTAAGGTACTTCGTAATTTCGTTTGTCTTTTTAAATAACTCAGTCAAGGGTCTGTTACTAATGGGGTTTACTGTTCTGTCTTTAGTTAAAGGGCAGTCAGGGTGTCCATGAAAGAGGCAGCCATGGAACTGATAAACGGTTCGAGTGTTCGCGTCCCACCCGTCTACTCTTATATGGCGAGATCCTAAGCTAACTTCGCCCCCGTTAAACGCGGTTTTTAAAGTTACCCCCTTTGTTTTTGAAACCCATGATAACCACTGAAAGGCCTGTTCCCCATAATGATTCGTTTTACGCGGTCTAAACCCCTCCTCACTATTTCTAATAATCGGAAATCCCGTCGGCATTTTTTGCATTAAAGACCATAAATAAAGCGCGTTTGCGTCGTACCCCTTAATTGCCTGTACCACCTTATTACTATTCCCCCTAATGAACGTTTCACCCTTTTCGTGATGTCTATGAAAAATAATGGAGGGGCCCCCTACGATATTATTTCGGATTGTTTTATGTAACTCTGATTCGCGCTCGGAACACAAAGAAAAAGAAACGTTTTTGGGCAGTGTTTTGAATAAGTATTTTAAGGTTACCCCCGGGACAGAAATCGCGTCTTTAAAAATATCAACCCCTAAATTTTTGTAAAAATTAGTTTGCTGCTCGAGCGCTTCGATAAACGGTTTTACATCGATATTGTTATACCAAATAAGATAATCTTTAAACGTTTGCATCCCCTTCTCTACCCAAATTTGGCTACACGTCGCGTACTCCTCGTCTGAAATGTTACAATTTTTTAATGATGAAAAAAAGGCCGAATGCGGAGGTAAAGACGTTTCATCTAAGACGGCTAAATTTTTGACATATTCGTACGGAAAAAATCCCTTGGTCTCTTTAACATTATATGCGGCGAGGTATTTACTATAGCTAAACCCTGGTGCTAGATAATTAACTATATCTAAGAACTTTAATTTATTTGTTGATATACACATAAAATTATTATTTCTTTTAACTACATATTTAAACGGTGTTTGTTTATCTTCTACGTCGTCTTCGTCATCGTTACAACTAGCTCTAGGTCCCTCCTCTAACCCCTCTTCTGTGTTTGAATAAGCTAAAAAGTACTGAATAAAATACGGCTTAACGAGATTTATATCATATTTTCCTGAATTAAACCCTATAACCGGCATTTGTCGCAAATACTCGTCTAATCTACCGCTAAGAAAGCTATCAAACCCTTTGTCGTTCGACTTATTATCACTACCCCTAGCTTTAGGTGGAAATAACTTCCTGATTTGCTTAAAAACAGGCTCGAACTGTTTTTTCAAAATGCCATAAGCTGCCTCGGCGATTATGTGGAGTCTGTCAATAACTCTAGTCACTAATTCTTGAGGGTCACCAGTCGAAATAAAACAGATGGGTTCGACGAACCCATCTACGTTTGAGGCGACAGAGCAAGACAAAGGGACGTGTTTGGCTACGCTTTTTGTAACTCTACCTAACGGGGGTAACTCGGTATGGTCGAAATAGCATTCGAAATCGTAAGTTGCTCGGAAGGGATAAACAAAGTTACTATTTACAACTACCCCATAGGACGCTAAAAACTCCCAGATTGTTTGGTGTGTCTGATAAACCCCTCCCTTATACCTATCAACGGGTTTCCCCCCATTACACCCTTTCACGTGTCTGTTTAATTGTTTAACGGTGGGCCATAATTTGTTACACACAGAACACGCGAAAGAGTGACCCGCCCCACCTATATTATTAATGTACATAAACTGATTTTGAAAAACTAAAAGATACACAGTCTCCCTAAACCTATCACTACTTCTAAGTTTCGGGGAAAGGATCTGGTTTTCCTTAAATTCAAAAATCTCAATATTTACACTAAAACAGGACTCTAAGAGGGGAATTTCGACCAACCTAACCCCACTAAAATTAGCCAAGGTCCCGAGACCTTGGTGCGCTTGCCACTGTTTCGCGAGATTTAATGTTGGAATTCTAAGATCTTTTACGGGTGCTCCTAAATGTCTGGCTAAACATCTAAAAAAGGAAAAATTGTCTGTGTAGGGTTTGGAATGGGAATCATGTTGTAACATGTTGATGGCGTGATTATGTTTAATAAAGTCAGGAATGTCTGTAAGAAGGGATGTGGGTGAAGCTTTGTCTGTGGTCGTGTGTAAGTCTACCACATCTCCCCTAAGGTCGTCTACAGGAAAAATAGTGTTGTATGAACTAAGGTTACTGTCGTTGTTAGTCTTTACGCGTTTGTTGTTTGCTATGTCGTCATACGTCGTATGTCGTTTTAAGGAGTTAGTGTTGGTCGCGGTACGAGGTGTTTGGATCGCTGATGGGAGTTGGATGGTTTGTGTGTCGGTCACTAATGTGGGTTGGTGTGTTTGTCTGTTGGTTGCTGATGGGGTGTCGGTCGGTGATGTTTGTTTGCTGTGTGTTTTCTTATAGTGGGTTGTCAAATTGTCAAGTCGTGTAAATATTTTACCACAAGTTGTGCATGAATGTCTTTGTCGACCGTGTGCTGTCTCTTGATGGCGTATGAAATTTTGATTACGGCTGAATACTCGGTCACAGATCTCGCATGTGAAGCGGGTCATGGCTGGGTGGCTGGTAGGTTGGGTGGCTTCCATTATTGACGAAGTGTCTAGTAGTTGGATGACTGGATAGGTTGGTGGCTGTAGAATAAAATAAATAAAAATTAAAGTAATTACATGAAATAAAATACATAACTTAAAATACATACTTAAAACTAGATTGAAAACTGAACGTACCTATGGGTTTGAACGTCTAAGCTGAACGTGAAGTTAGCTGTATGTGGAGATCCGAAGTGGTGTAGTTGGTTGTAGTTGGAACGTTTGGTTCAGTGGATGCCTCAGGGATGGGTAGGTAGCTCAATAGGGTCAGTGGCTGGTTAGTAGGGTCGGTTGTACACTAAGGAATACAGTTGCGTACTTATTTAGAAACTATTTATTCAAAGACTATTTCAATGGGGTTAGCTCCCTTAAAACAATACGTACTATTAACCTTACCTTGGTGTGCGATACAAAATTAAAGTTAATACACGTGACTAGTTATTTTAATAAGCTTTGATTAAAGGTTATTTTAATGGGGTTAGCGCCCTTAAAACAAAAAGTAATATTAGCCTTACCTTTCATAGAATAAAAACGCACAAAAGATGTTGTCCGTGGTGGGTTAGGTAGATGTGTTGCTTGGTAAAACGGGCGTGGGTTTAGTCTCAGGAGTCAACAGAGGTCGCAGGCTGGATAAGTCGCGGTGAAGCTTGATTTGAAGTCCGAAGTCGAAGTGATTAGAACACAATTTTCGCGTTCCTTTATACGGTTGGTCGGCCTAATTACACCACCAGCTGTTACACAGCAGCTGTTGCATAATGACCTAAGTGCTTCGCGGAAAGCTACTTAATGTACGTTGTTAATTACCATAACCCGTCAACCGAGCAGGGAAAAAAGCCATTAATCATCATGACCTATCAAACCGAGCGGGGAAAAATCACTGATGCATAATAATAAATGTAATTAGGCGGGACATCATGCTGTGATGTCCCGTGGGTTGGATCAATATAATACCCATTAATCACTACGATGCGCGTGTCATGGTAACAGATGTTCCCACACTTAACGCTGGCTTTGCGTTAATTACCATACCCCCCGGTGGGATCGGGTCGGCGAACAACGCATAAAAGCGGTGAAGCATAACCAATTTAATTATATGGGACAACATTTGATGGTCCCGTGGGTGCGATCGATACAATACCCATTAAAAACGCTCAGCGCGTGTCAACAAAGGATCCCGGCTCGATAAGTAACAGATGTGGTTAAATGGATGTTCTATTTTTGTAACGTTCATTGTGTTGCTGAATGGTCCCTATACAAAGTCCACGTTAGTGTTAGTCTTTTATTTAAAACATACATACAAGCAAATAAACAAATAAACAACATTAAACAACAAAGAAAAGAAATATATCAAATAAATAAATTAAACAAAAGTAATTAAAATCAAATTACGTAACTAGTCAATAAAAAAAATTACACAATATAAACAAAGTAATTAAATTGAATTCAAACTAATAATTTAACTAATTATAAAATAAAATAAAATTAAATTAAAAATAAACAAAATAAAAATAATTAAAAAGTAAACAAATAATCAAATTACGTAACTCGTTAATAAAAATTACACAATATAAACAAAGTAATTAAATTAAACAACAAGTAAACAAACAAAATTAAAATAATTAAAATCAAACAAATACAAAATAAATAAAAATCGAATTAATTAAACTTATTAAAAAATAAACAAACAAAACACAAACAAAGTAATTAAAATCAAATTAATCAAAAAACATTAAAATTACGTAACTAGGTCAAAAATTAATTAAAATTTAAAAAACTCATTAAAACTAATTAAAAAACTCATTAAAATTACGTAACTAGGTCAATGATTACGTCATAATGTTACTAATTACGTCACAAGGTCACCGGTGGTGACCTACTGACCTACTCCCGCTCCTGCTCACCCACCCTAGGGTGGGTGAGTATTTTACTATATCTCATTGTACCTGCGGCTCACCCACCCTCACCCACCTGCTCACCCAGGTGGGTAAGTATTTTACTATATCTCATTGTTCCTGCGGGTCACCCAGGCTCACCCACCTTCACCCAGTTGGGTGAGTATTTTACTATATGTCGGTGTACCTCCTGCTCCCCCAGGGAGTATTTTACTATATCTCGTTGTTCCTGCGGCTGCGGCAGGCTGCGCCTGGTGGGTGAGTATTTTGCTATATGTCATTGTTCCTGCGGCTCACCCAGGCAAGGAGTATTTTCCTATATAACCATTGCTCCTGCTCCTGCTCCTGCTCCTGCTCCCCTCACCCTGCGCCTGCGCCTGCGACCCAAAAGGGACCTAATATACTACTGGGGATCCCTTCCAATACTAAAATTAAGAACGACGAAGAAGAAGAAGAGTCAGGTTCGAAAAGAGCTCCTTACTACCGTCATTTCGAAAAGAGGACCTTACTATATAGTCGAACCATATAGCACCCCCCACCCCCCGCCCTAACAACCTCCCCCCCCCCCTACATCTGGTGTTGCCCTTGCCGTCTGCCACTCACCTCAGAGTGGTATTTCTCTTTGATCAACGTCCTGATCTTCTGCCGGACCACCCGGTTCTTGGCCAACAGTGCCCACTTGGAACCGTCTTTCAGCTTCCTGGAGCCCCCCAGCATCAGGTACCGGATCAGACTGATGGCGTTGCCCTTGTGGTCGGTGTAGCGCAGGGCCTCCGTCTTGGCTTTCTCTTTCTCCTTCTCCGTGACGTACTTGAGAGGGCTGGTTGCCGGTTTGATCTGAGTACTGGCCAGATCAATTGAACGGGATAACATGGTTAAACTATGCACTATGTGATCAGTGTTTCTTCCAGACTTTTTTCTCCGGGGGGGGGGGGGGCACTTGATATTTTCGGGGGGGCGGTAAACTTTCTTCGGGGGGGGGGGGGGGGCGGACACTATCAAAAGTATATATTTTCTGCATAAATTATATAAATTTCGTTTCGTTCGGGGGGGGGGGGGGCGGTAAAAAAATTTCGGGGCAAAGCCTTCCCCCCCTCCCCCGAAGAGATGCCTGGAAGAAACTCTGTATGTGATTTCATGTTAAGTTACCTTTATTAAAAAAAGTTAATTAAACAAAATATTATTCCTTTAGTAAAAGTTAAAAGAGTCGGTTTTAAATTATAAATTTAAAACCATTTTATTATTTTATCCAAAGATCAAATTTTTATTTATTTTATTTTTGATAAGAAATTTTCCCAAAAAAAAAAGTTTGATAGTTGTTTGTTGGTGAGAAATAGAATATCCGGATTTATCCAAGAAGTATAAGTTTTTGAAAGACACGACAGGGTTAATATCATAATTATTGCACCCGCTCAGTGGTGCATGTAAATCTGGAAAAAAATTATAGGTTGAGAAAACCGGCAATAAGTCTAACCAGACGAGGCACATTATGGAATCCACAAATGTAACCAGACGAGGCATATCATGGAATCCACAAATGTAACCAGACGAGGCATATCATGGAATCCACAAATGTAACCAGACGAGGCATATCATGGAATCCACGAGAAAAGAAAATGAAGGAGACCAAAATCATGGGATGCAGGGATACGAAATAGCAAAGGACAAAAGCATGGAAGGAAGTTGTAAATGTCCTATACTCCACTGAGAGTTTTAAAATAGGAAGAAGAAATGGCAACCTTTTTTACTTCAGCTATTAAAAATATAACCCAAAAAAAAACGTTCTTCTATATTTACATTTACATCGTGTTTTAAACAGCAATCTATAAGAAAAAATTAATAGACAGAAATCTAGCATTATATAAAAGGGTCCTCCGACTTTTTCGTTCAAAGATGTTAAAAGTGTACACAAGCCGACGGTCTGGGGCTATTAAGACAACATTTCAGGATGTGGGTGATAGTTTGCAGGCCAACTTGGCATAATTCTTTCGCCTGATGTACACAACTAAAGACTAAGGGCAACAAAATCACTACCACCAAAGCTACGACCAAAAAAATAATGACTACAATACTACAACCACCAAAACTACAAACACCAAAACTACAACCACCAAAACTACAACCACCAAAACTACAACCACCAAAACTACAACCACCAAAACTACAACCACCAACACTACAACCACCAAAACTACAACCACCAAAACTACAACCACCAAAACTACAACCACCAAAACTACAACCACCAAAACTACAACCACCTATACTTACACTCTTTCTCTCATTTTCTTAGAGTCCCCTAGAGCTAGCGCCAACACCATGTCAATCTTCATCATCTTCTCATGGGTCAACGCCTTGATAAGCTCCTCCGTCCTGACGATAGAAATGTCGAGTTTTACACCATGACCATCATCACCACCACCAACAACAATAACAATAACAACAACAACACCACCACCAACAACAACACCATGTCGATCTTCATCATCTTCTCATGGGTCAACGCCTTGATAAGCTCCTCCGTCCTGACGATTTAGAAATGTCGAGTTTTACACCACCAACACCAACACCAACTTCACCACCACCAACACCACCACCAACACCACCACCAACACCACCACCAACACCTCCATCACCAACACCACCACGAACGCCACCACCAACACCACCAAAACCACCACCAACACCACCAACACCACCACCACCAACACTACCACCACCACCACCGACAACACTACCACCATCACCACCACCAACAACAACAACAACACCAACAACACCAACATCACCAACAAAAACACCAACAACACCACCACCAACACTACCACCACCACCACCAACACTACCACCATCACCACCACCACCAACGACAACAACAACAACACCAACAACACCAACATCACCAACAACAACACCAACAACACCAACAACAACAGCATCTGTAATATCTATAAACATGAAAGTTGTATTATCAACTTATATTTTAAACTAAATGACACATTTAAGTCATACATAACATTTTTTTAACTAATCATAAGAGATAGATAAACTCCCTTGTTGTGTGGTGTGAGAGAAATTGGATAACTCTCCTTGTGAAGTGTGGTGAGAGCTGGGCTAACTCCCCTAGAGGGTTGTGGGGGGAAAAGCGAGTTAACTCCCCTTGTAAGATGTGGGAGAGGTGAGTTAACTCCCCTTATGTGTTGTGGAAAAAGCGGGTTAACTCCCTTTGTAAGGTGTGGGAGAGCTTGGTGAGCTCCCCTTGCATCCCTTGCTGTGAGGTGTGGGAGAGCTTGATTAACTCCCCTTGTAAGGTGTGGGAGAGCTTGATTAACTCCCCTTGACTGACCTGTCGACCTGTTTGGAGGGCGAGGCCATGGCTTTCATCATTTCTTCCTCGGCCTTCAGCTCCTTCAGCGGCTGGAGGAACAGCTGCTGGCTGGACGGTACCGTGCTGATGTACCTGGGGAAAAGAGGAATCGATTTTAATGGCTGGACGATACCGTGCTGATGTACCTGGGGAAAAGAGGAATCGATTTTAATGACAGGAAGCGATTTTTTAATTGACGAAAATCAATAGTAATATCTAGGATCGATTTTTTATGATAATAATCAGAACTAGAGATTTTTGTGTTAACAGCCGTGCGATCTAGCATCAGACAACAGAATCCCATAGAAACAAGAAAGATGCACTTTTAAAAATATTAAATAATGATGCACAACAAAGACTCAACAAAGATGTAAAACAAAGATGTTCAAAAAACATACACAACAAAGATGAATAACAAAAAACGCACAATAAAAGTACACATTATCAATTATAGATAAACAACGCATTATGTACATGATATATGCTTGATAGTGCATTTGTACACCAAACACGTCCTATGTACTACACATGTTATCTTATGTACACCAAACGTGTACACATACAGCACGTGCAGCCTAAAATGTACTCACCTTTGATACCATGGCCCGTGCACTTTTTTGCTCATGCATTTTTTCCGTTTGGCGATCGACATTGATGAGTATTGGGCCATCTTGATAGTCTGCAAGTTACATAACATTATCGTAAAATTATCGTAACATTGTCGTGAAGTTATCATAACATTGTCATAAAATTGTCATAACATTGTCGTAAAATTTTCGTAACATTGTCGTGAAGTTGTCATAACATTGTCGTAAAATTGTCATAACATTGTCGTAAAATTGTCATAACATTGCCATAAAATTGTCATAACATTGTCATAAAATTGTCGTAACCTTGTCGTAAAATTGTCCTAACATTGTCGTAAAATTGTCATAACCTTGTCGTAAAATTGTCATAACCTTGTCGTAAAATTGTCATAACATTGTCGTAAAATTGTCATAACATTGTCATAAAATTGTCGTAACCTTGTCGTAAAATTGTCATAACATTGTCGTAAAATTGTCATAACATTGTCATAAAATTGTCGTAACCTTGTCGTAAAATTGTCCTAACCTTGTCGTGAAATTGTCATTGCATTGTCGTAAAATTGTCGTAACCTTGTCGTAAAATTGTCATAACATTGTCATAAAAGGGTCATAAAACTGACATAAAGGTTATATGAAATTTACATTAACATAAATTCTACATAAAGCTTTCATAAGATACCCTCAGTTTTATACACAGCCATGAAATTGTATTTTTGCTTTCAGAGAATTCTAGAATTCACGACGCGAATAGCATTCATCTTTTTACAAGCCGGGTCACATCTCAAACAGTCAATACGGGGTTTTATTCACATAACACTTACCCGAACCCTAAACATAACATTACCCTAGCCTTAACACTTAACATAAAGTACAAGTAAAATCTAGAGGTTATAGTCTCAGCGTATACCAGGTTGTGCATATTGTTTAGCTAGGCGTACTAGAAGGTGTAGGCTTATCCACAGACAAAGGAACACTGGCCCAATGTACTGGCTCCCGGACAATAACCCCCCTGGACATAACCACTCCCCCTCCCACAGATATAAACGCATTGACATATAACGACACGACATATACCCCCACGACATATATCGCTGCAACAGATACGTCCTAGACCCCCCCCCCTCCAATTCCAACCCAAAGGACCATTGACCCAGTGGATCAGAACCACAGGACCACTCACACAGAGGATCTCAGCCCTACAGGACCACTGACCCACAGGACCACTGACCCAGAGGACCACTGACCCAAAGGACCACTGACTTCCAGAACAACTGACCCACCGGACCACATACCCACAGGACCACTGACCAACAGGACCACTGACCAACAGGACCACTGACCAACAGGACCACTGACCCACAGGACCACTGACCCAGAGGACCACTGACCAACAGGACCACTGACCAACAGGACCACTGACCCACAGGACCACTGACCCAGAGGACCACTGACCAACAGGACCACTACCCAGAGGACCACAGACCCACAAGACCACTGACCAACAGGACCACTACCCAGAGGACAACAGACCAACAGGACCACAGACCCAGACAACCACTGACCCAGAGGACCACAGACCAACAGGACCACTGACCCACAAGACAACTAACCCAGAGGACCACAGACCAACAGGACCACTGACCTCCAGAACAACTGACCCACAGGACCACTACCCAGAGGACCACAGTTCCACAGGACCACTGACCTCCAGAACAACTGACCCACTCACCTTTAGCTGTCTGCTGGTAGGGGCTGATGGAGAATGATGTTTAAAAGGAACAAATACACCACAGCATCCGGAAGCCAACACTACACGCCATACATTTATGTGCTGCACCAGTACCGAACCGGGAATTCCCGTTTTGTTTTTACTTTCTCGTATATACGAAGTATAGAGAAAGTCTTGTAATCGTGCAAAAAAAAAAAATCGGGATTTTTACAAATCTCGACGTTTTACACCTCACTGATAAGGAAAAACATAATTTTGCAATCTTGTCCGTATGTCTGTGTGTCTGTCTGTGTGTAAACACGATAACTTGAGTACCGTTACAGCTAGGTTGATGAAATTTTATATATAAATATTTTATCAAAAGCCTATAACTTGAGTATTATTTCAGATATATAAATGAAATTTAACTTGTAAGTAAAAGATCTAATTCTCTGCCTTCTATTAAATTTTGAGTAATTTCCGTTTACCGGAAGTAGTAATTTACGCTATTTCCGATTTCTCAAAAAACGAATGTAAATTTATAAAGTACACTAATAATATTGCGCACTATTATGCACATTTAATTTGGAGTTCACTTGGTGTGCTATTCTTTTTTTCTACGAGATTTAATTCTATTTTAAAAAGTTTAAGTATTTAAAATGGATTAAAAATCATGTCTATATCCCGAGTTCCCATCCCCTGTTGTTTTATATAAGAAAATTCGAGAAAGTTTAGTGGAGATCACTCCCGGTTTATTTTAATGTAGTGTCCAATTTTAATAAGAAAAATAACGACAGAGAGATAATAAAAAAAAAATTAATTATGGATTTTTTTCAGATTTAAACGTGAGGATTTTTTTTTCCTTTGAAATGTGAGCTATATTTTGATTGCTAAAATCTAAATAATCATGATGATGTGCTAAATATAAATGTTACGTTCATAAAAAGGAATTTTATTTTAATGTTTAACTATTTTTGGTAATTAACTTTAATATGCGAATCGATAATTATCATGTCAAACACGAACTAAGAAAGAGAAATGTTTTTTTTTTTTAAATTCTGAATTTTTTAAAAATACCTTTTAGTTTTCCCCGCTTATATTGTAAGGGAGGTAACAAATAAAATTCTAAACAAAACCGCTTATTCTGAATTGTCTTTCTTGCAATCCTTTTGTTTTAGCTTGAAATACAACTAAATTAAGAAAATGAAATGGTTATTTAATTTTCTAAACGATTTGGGCGTACAAAAAATCTATAGCACATTTTATCAACCAGTGCTTGTATTGTTACATTGTGTATTTTCTTTATTTTAGTTCAATTAAAGCTTTGTTTTATAAAGTTTTATGTTTGTTTTGTTTCTACTGTTTAACGTATAGCATTTTAGATTAAAATACGTATCCAGCAATGGCTCTTATTTTGAATTCGTCCCAATCGTCCTTTGATATTAACAGTATGCAAAAATTAGCAGACCTGCATTATCCAATGGGGAAAACACCATTACTTTGGATTTATGCACTACTCTTACATTGTTAATGTTTACCCTACAAAGTAGGGCTTGAAAAATAGAATTTTAGACTCATTATAATGCTCCTCTCCACGGAAATCTTTAGTAAAAGGCGAAAGATTTACGCGTTGTGAAGAGAAACCAGAGTTACCAAATAATGGCATTGATAGCGACGACTACGATTAACAGTTCATAGAAAAGTACGGTTTTGCAAAAATGAATGTACCTTTTTATTAAATATAATTTGTAAATAATACATATTTATTCCTTACAGTTTTTTAAAAGCAATATTTTTATTCTATAAATTAATTTGTTTTGATCAAAATATCAACAAAATTGTATAAAACTTTTATTTTAAAATTTTATTAACAGACCATTGGGTTATGTCCCTTGAATACTCTCCCTGCTTATTTTAAGATCAAACGGTGTTATTGAATGTTGGACAATTTAACTTTTAAACAATTATTGTTTTATAAATCGAACGAATAAATGAAAATATACACAAATCTTTTCATTATATTGAACTTTGCACTATTAATAACATATATAGACTAATATAGATTAAAGTTACATTTAAAAAGACGTTTTAATAAAGAAAACGTTTTAATTGCAAGTGTCTACATATACAAATCATTTAGAGCAAAAATAAAATTGAATAACATTGTATTTGGTCTACTAGCATTTACATAGGCTACAGAAGCGATGTGAAAAATTCGTTTTAGTCGGTGCTTCATTAAATGTAATAGGCCTACCATTTTAAAGGAAACATAATTATGTGTAATAGGCCTAAATTTTAAAAGAAACATATTTGAATTTGAAAAATGAAAACTATGTAAAACCCGTAACAAAACAACATAATTGATGCATTAATAATTTCAATACTGTAATACAGTTAATTAAAACAAATATTGAAGAGTCATCAAAAAAAGTTATAATTAATCAACATAATTAAATTATATTTAATTGTAATGCAATCTATTGGGAAATTTACTGCATTCATAAAATGTTTTGTGTATTGTTATTGTTAATGTTTTACACTTAACAAAATACATTTGGATTAAAACAATTATAGTTAATAAATTATTTAATTAATCACTTTCTCTGTGCTGCTTTCTGAATACATAGACTAGTCGCGCATACAAAATTCAAGTTGTGCTAACACACGTTTTCAGTTTCTTGATATTTTCTTTTAGACACGGCTTTGTTTGTGTAGTTAGTGTTTCACTTGTTTTGGGTGACGTAAGAATCGTCTGCAGGCTCGTACAGGGGTAACTTTTCGTAGGGTTTATTTTTAGTCTGGTAACACGTCTTGACGTTGCACGCCATCTTTGTTCTCGTCACAACGAGGTAGGTCGCGGCGTACACCGCGCACGTGGTTACTATATTTAAACAAAGATGGACGCCGAACATCGCTACCGCAAAGGCGGAGTTCCTCGGGTCTTTCCGGTCCCAGTCGTTCGGCTCACTGCCTGAATTAGAATACTATTATTAGAAAAATTGGCTTGGGGTATGGGGGGGGGGGGGGGGGGGGGGGGGGGAGGGGGGGGGGGGGGACGTGTTTTAGAACGAACAAACCCGAAGTGGTAAAAAAAAGCATAGTTTCAACCGTTTTGTAAATGTGAATAAGTTTAGTTATGGAATAAACATTAAATGTGATTATCCCTGTAATGGTTTATTTACGGCAACTGCACCAGTGTTTCTTCCAGACTTTTTTCTCCGGGGGGGGGGGGGGGGGAGGCACTTGAAATTTCGGGGGGGGGGGGCGGACACTGTTAAAAGTATATATATTCTATATAATTTTCATTTCGTTCGGGGGGTGGTAGAAGAGATGCCTGGAAGAAACTCTGAACAGCACCAGGCAAGCAATTGTGCTGTCACTACCTTCGCCCCTCCCCCCCCTATACTCATCCTTACATGGCTTCACTAACAAACCCACAGTATCCTCCCCTCCCATACTCGCCACGCTCTCCCAGAAAGATCAAACCCTATGCTCTCTCCCACCCCCTGTCTCGACCCCCAGTTCTAGTCACACCCTGTCAATACATCAAAACATTTTTTTATGAACACACCCTCTTTCATCCCACCTACATGCCCCATCCTCTTTAAGTAATGAGGCAAAATTATCTGCAGGAACACACCATACTCCACTCGCCCAGCCTTAGTCGCCCCACCCACAACAGCCACACCCTCAGCTATCCCACCCCCATCTACCCCACTTCCAGCTACCCCACCCCCAGCTACTCCACCCCCGTCCCCCCTCCCACACCCAGACATACCTGGGAACGTATCAGTGGCGTACAACATGAACGGCAGGTGACAAAACCAGGTCCCCAGCGTGAGTACCCCGAACGCCGCGCACAGAACAAGGTGAAGGCCGCGGGGGTGACGGACCCTCAGCAGGACAGATGTCCCCGTGGTCAGCATGAAGGGGATGGGGAGGATGTGCACGACCGTCTGCAGCGGTTCCTTGTCCGGCATGGTGGCGTGGAACACAAAGGCATAGGCGTACCTGTGGTGGATGAGCGGCAGTTGCTTAGTTAAAGTCGTTGGAGGGTACGGTTAAGCCAATTGTATAAAATGTTGAAAGCAGTTTACCAGAAGAAGGCGAGCGCTAACGTCAGACTGTTGGCATGGTGGGGAATCGGTCCGCCGTACCACAGAAATAGGTCGGCTACTCCGTGGATTACAAACATGCCATATATGGTCATGTGTTGCATGTTGGTCAATCTCCGGAAGTTGCCGTCGTCGTCATGGAAACGAGGGCCGCCCTCAGCGACAATCTCAATGAGAAAACCTGTCAGTATTTTTAAAATAAAATAAAAATAACCCAATTAACAAGTTAGTGTTGTATGGTTTGCAGTGGCGTAGCGAGGTCGGGTGTCACCCGGTGCGGCACTTAATGGTGTCACCCCCCCCCCAGAGGCGTAGCCACCCTTACCGGGGACAAAATTTTCGATTTGCACCCCCCCCCACTCCCCTCAAACTTTCCATTTGCACCCCCCACCCACTCAACTTTTTCTCCATATATTTTGCTATTTTTTGCCTTGGTGTCACCCCCCTAAATGGTGTCACCCGGTGCGGTCCGCACCCCCCGCCCCCCCCCCCCCCCCTCGCTACGCCCCTGATGGTTTGCATCAGCGCGCTACAATGCCACAGTAATGGGTTCTGCTTTAAAAAGGGGCGTTAGGTTTTGATTGTAAACTATAAATTAATATAACTTTTTAATGAGGACATAACTCTAAAGTTCATCCATAAAGTTCACTAAATGGTTCGGACTCTTGGGACGATGTTTAACATGCGGAAATTTGATGGGGGGTTGGGGGAAGGAGGAGAGAAAGTGCGGCGTTAAAATTTCTGCATTTTTTAAATAATTTATTTTAGCAGTCTTTTATTTTAAAAAAAATTTCTAAAGTTTATTAGAAATTGATTATTTGATTATTTGTACTTTTTCGACATAACAACTGATCAAAGAGAAAACATCAACAACGTTATAACAAGTGAGGTCACGTCCAGATTTGGGAGCGGTGAGGGTCAAAGGTTAGCTCAATAAAACAAGCCATCTGATGATGAAGATTCACTATTTCATGTAAGGCTACTTAGAATGGCTGAGTCAACCAAGGATCAGAGGCGTAGCGAGGGGGGGGGACATGTTCCCCGGGCGCCAACCTCAGGGGGGACGCCAAATTGAAAGTTTGAAGGGGGATGCAAATGAAAAATTCGAGGGGGGGGAGCAAATCGAAAGTTTGAAGGGGGTGCAAATGAAAAGTTCGAGGGGGGGGGGGTGCAATCGAAAGATTGAGGGGGGGGGGGTGCAAATGAAAAGTTCGAAGGGGGGATGCAAATCGAAAGTTTGTCCCCGGGCGCCGAGAAGGGTCGCTACGCCTCTGCCAAGGATACTCTTGCTGTCTGGGACACATTTACTTTTAACTTACAATTTGAATACAATTCACTGTTTTTCTTTTCTTTTATAATTTCCATTAATATCAATGTTAATGTTATAATTTCCATTAATATCAATGTTATTTTTTCTGTATTTACACCCACACACGGGGTTTATGTTGATGGCGTTGAGGGGGGGGGGGGGGTATCAAAGGGGAAGAGTTTTATTTCCGGCCAAATAGCGTGACGTCATTTATGGACGACCCCTTGTTCTAATCTTTCCTACCGTCTACCTAACCCTAACACTAAACCTTATATTACATAACTACTACCAACGACTAAAAACCTATTTTTGGAATGGTCATATGCACACACTACAAACATGCATTTTTAATAATTGTAATAATGTAGGTAACGGCCACCCCATTACTTACACAGATATTTAGCTGACCTGTCTAACCCTAGACCAATATACCTACCAAACACAGGAAAGCTAATTTTGAAAAATATTTCAATCGGAACATGGCGCCGACAAGGAAGACCATACGAGCTAGGCAAAACAATTTCTTTCTCTCGGCCAGATTTCTGGAAAATTAAAGGAGTTAAATTTTTCTACGTTTATTTTAACTATGCATTAAAAAGGCAACAGACTACATTTTGTTTTTAATATTATAAAATAAAAAAGTCTCTTTAACTTTTCAGTAGGGCCTAATCATTTTACTATATTTTGGCTTAAATTAAGTTGAACGACAGACTGATATATGTTTATTTTTATTCCCACGTTTTCTTTAACTTGCTTTCGTCTCTGTTTTTCCAATCAAATCTTGCGATCGAAATTTCTGGCACTTCCCAGTTAGCTAGCGCGCTGAAATTTTCAGGGAAGCTTTGTTTTGGATGACAATAGAATATTCAATTATTATTATTACTAAATTGATCCATGGAAACATTTTATTGATCATTTTAGACCGCTATATAATTGTACCAAAAAACGTGGGGAAAAAGGGACATTACCCAGTAACTGTAATTTGATGAAAACAAGGTTCGGTACTCTCCCTCTTTTTGCTTACTGAGTAGTTGTCACGCTGTGTTTGTGTACAAACAACCATAACGTAACAGCTGGTGGCCAGTATGGGGGAGACGATATGGTCGAGTGGTTGGGCACACGATTGCTATCCCACTCGGCGCGGGTTCAAATCTATGTGTTCTAGTCAGTAACGTATTCACACAACGTGTTTTATACGAGTTGTCTTCGTTTACCCAAAAAAAAAAAGTGAAAAGTTAAAATCGATAGCAAGATTTTAATGCAAACAAACAGACAAAGACTAAAAAGTAGAAAATAATAATCATTAAAAAAGTTTTTAAAAAACCAACGTTTTCTGATTGAACTAAAAAGTAGAAAATAAATGCTATACATCACAATAATGCAAGCGATCACTCTACTATAAGCGATGAAAAACGTGGGGCGCCGTGATTTTCTTACAGTTTATAATACTGTTGACTCTCTACAAGCTCTCTAATAAAAGTCAATAGTATTATCTAATCAATAGTAATATAACTTTTACTTCGGCGCCCCACGTTTTTCATCGCTTATAGTAGAGTGATCGCTTGCATTATTGTGATGTATAGCATTTATTTTCTACTTTTTAGTTCAATCTGAAAACGTGGGTTTTTTAAAACTTTTTTAATGATTATTATTATTAGTGTATTTGGTTTTTTTTTTCATCTAGACAAGCATACTCGGGTATACAAGTAATAACCACTGGTATAATTTTGGCTCGGAACATAACGTTGCAGCGATTTCAGTGAAAATAACGTCAGATGCTGGTGTTGGGAACCATTCAATCAGAGATAAAAAGTGAATACGATCTAACGAAACTATATACTTTAGTAAGGTTTTTATTATTTAAATGTTTCTTCAAAAATATAAATAACTTAAAATCACAGACATGTTTTACTTTTTATTCATTACAATAAATGTACAGTAATAATATTAAATAAAAATAGTAATTTTTATTTTATAATTCTTTAGATTGTACGAGTTATACACATTTGTAGTAATTATTTGAATACAATATAGAGCTACTTCCCTTGGCTAAACATTATATTTACTTATTTCCCTTTATTTGTCAGCACTTGCATACGCAAGGTATATAAATTATAATACTCGTCTTTCTTTTAATATTTATTCTCTAAAATTGAAGTGGTGTAATTTTCCTTTTTTTTCAACCCTATATTGATATTAGCATAGAGAATACCTTTGTTAAAATATAATATTGAAGATATTAAAAATAGATATTTAAATTGTAATAAAAAGTACGTGCACGGTTAGTTATGCATTCCGAGTGTTGTGACATAAAATCATCTTGCACAACGACAAGGCTCATTAATTCTAGAAATGGTATTATAAGTATTTAAATAGTTGGGTAATCTATTTATTGGCCTCTCCCCCCTCCCCGTACAACTCTTGTGATGATAACCAACCGACCGTAGAAACTGTAGGTCACGTGTTATGGGCGTTGATAGAACGTGATCAGATTTCACGTGCCAGAAGGAACATCTGCTGTGTTTGCGATATTTATCTTTCTTTTGTACACATGATTATGGCGCTATAATTGGAAAATGTGATGTTTGGTCGTTTGTTGTTGTTGTTGTTTTTTTTTTTCTTTTTTTTTTTTTTTTTTTTTTGGGTTTTTTTATTTTATTTTGTACTCTATTTATAATAAAAATGAATGTATTCGATCACGTAATGAAGAAATAAAACAGCTTTTGTCATGCACATTTTAAAATTCTCTATCTCCTACGCTAGGTCGGGTGTTACCCGGTGGCCTGTGGGGTAACTGAGGGTGTCACAACGTACCTGTAAAACACCACAACAAAACTTCCTGTAAAAAAAACTACAACCTACTAGTGTAACAAACTACAATCTACCTTTAGAAACCAACAACCTACGTGTATATAATCATAACCTACCTGTATAAAACCACAACCTATCAGTATAAAACCACAACCTACCAGTATAAAACCACAACCCACTTGTATAATAAAAAAACGTACCTGTAAAACACCACAATCTACATGTAAAAAACTACAACCTACCTGTAAAACATTACAACCTACCTGTAAAACATTACAACCTACTAGTGTAAAAAACTACAATCTACCTGTAAAAAAATACAACCTACCTGTATATAATCATAACCTACCTGTATAAAACCACAACCTACCAGTATAAAACCACAACCTACCTGTAAAACACCACAACCTACCTGTAAAACACCACAACCTACCTGTAAAAAACTACAACCTACCTGTAAAAACCAACAACCTACCTGTATATAATCATAACCTACCTGTATAAAACCACAACCTACCAGTATAAAACCACAACCCACTTGTATATAATCATAACCAACCTGTATAAAACCACAACCTACCTGTAAAAACCCACAACCTACCTGTATATAATCATAACCTACCTGTATAAAACCACAACCTACCAGTATAAAACCACAACCCACCTGTATAATAAAAAACAACGTACCTGTATGTACACTGCAAACATGTTCACCATCCACCACAACGCGAGGCAAATAAAAAATATCCCCTGGTCCATATGACCCCAGAATGACCCCATGATCGGTCAATTGCTAAGTAAATACGTAAAACGCTCATAAACACCTTCTAATTATTTCCAGGCGTTGCTTCCACGGGACGTATTCTAGTACACACTATGTGTCGATTAATGAGGTTTTACGTTGTGACCTTCGACCTAACAACAGATGTTAGGGCGGATAAAACTCTCCATTTAATGTATCTTTGTATATTACCCTTACTATGGTGTATTAATGTATCTAGAGCCATTAGCGCATGAATTTTATTCCAATTAGAGTTGGAATCAGAATTTGACACCGTTGAATTATGAATATAAATTAGGAGGTGGATTGTAAGTTGTGCCTGGGTGATATAGGTCATGGTTTATTTATCTTATCCATAGGTCATGGTTTATTTATCTTATCCATAGATCATGGGTTTTTTAATCCCATCAATAGGTCAAGGATTTATTTATCCCATTCATAGGTCATGGATTTATTTATCCCATTCATTGGTCATGGTTTATTTGTTCCATCCAAAACATCACTTGGCAACATCATCACTTGTCTGTTTACAACAACAGCATCACTTGTCTACTTACAGCAATATCTTGGAACATCATCACTTGTCTATTACCTGTACCCATGCTATAGCAGACACTAGCGGTCTGTTTTGATCCACTGGTCGATTAAGGCCGATCCGTATTTTTTATTGTAATTTATTCGTGAGACCCGGGCCCGTCCAGAATTTCATGCATCCGCGGCGCAGTGAAGGGACCCATAAATCTGGGCGCTACAGTTTGCTCTACATAGACTACTGGGATCTATTAAATGTGACGGGTCTATCAACCAAAATGGTGCACTACACCTCTAAACGACATGCTAATACAGAACCAATAAAATAAAACAATATCAACAACTACATACATATCTAGCCTTGACAATGCCATTGGTATAACAATAGAGTCAGTGTGTTTTTTTCTTGTGATTTATTATATGACACAAAAGTGAAAATGAACATTTTCAAACATAACTTTTTCTGCTGAAGCACATAATGGCGAATATGTAGATCAAGGTTAGTGATTCCAATTTTAACAGACAGTGACGGGGGAGGGGGAACCCCCGGGCCGCAAGGAAAAAACTTGAGAACTCTAGAAGCTGGCCAAGATGTCTCCCTTGGTGGCGTACATGGGTCGTATCAGTTCGTGCATGAGTCGGTCCACGCCCTGGTCCACTGTGGCCCGCAGTAGGGGGATTGTAATCAGGGCGAAGAGGAAGGGGATTGGTCGGTGGGATCTGCTGCGGGTGGAGCCGGATAGGAGGGAGTCCACCAGCCTGGGGAGTGGAGGAGGGGGGGGGGTTGTGAGGTTGTGGGTCATAGGTCAAGAGAAGTTTGAATGTTATGTCAGAAGAGAAATCTATGGGTAAGGTGATGGGTCAAAGGTCGAGAGAAATCTATGAGTAAGGTGGTGGGTCAAAGGTCAAGAGAAATTTATGGATCTGGTGATGGGTCAAAGGTCAAGAGAAATCTATGGGTAAGGTGATGGTCAAAAACCAAAGGTCAAGAGAATTAGAACGTAATGTCAGATGTTATGTAAAAATAGCTTAAGGGTCAGTTTTGGGGTCTTGGGTTAACAAAAGTTTTCAGTCTATTTCTTGAGCTATGGTCAACGAAAGGTCCACTGTCAGGTTGTAGGTCAAAGTCAACAAGGTCAATAGAAATTTAAGCGTTAGGAAAAAAAATGAAACAGTTTGTTAAGTCGATGAAATGGCCAAAACCATAACCTTTTTAAAATTTACAATATTACAGAGGAGAAGAATAACTAAATACACAAAACCAAAATATAAATCTGGCTGGTATATTAAAACTTCAATACCAACAACCTTGACCCAAATAAAGACCAAGGTCAAATGACGTACCAGTAAACACATGTTGACGTCAGGGATGGTATCAGGTAGGACGCCAACACCTCCCAGATGAAAGTGTCGAACAGGGCGACAACAGCATTGGTCTCGTAGCAAGGGAGGAAAGCCGACATGAATCGGTTCTCTGAGATCTGTAGACGAGGATAAAATGTGGGTACCCTTTAACCTGAACTGAGATCTGTAGACAACATGTGGGTACCCTTCATTCATGACCTGAAATCTGTAGACAAGATGTGGGTACCCTTCATACCTGACATGAGATCTTTAGACAAGATGTGGGTACCTGTAATAACTGACCTCAGATATGTAGACAAGATGTGGGTACCCTTCATTCATGACCTGAAATCTGTAGACAAGATGTGGGTACCCTTCATTCATGACCTGAAATCTGTAGACAAGATGTGGGTACCCTTCATTCATGACCTGAAATCTGTAGACAAGATGTGGGTACTCTTCATTCATGACCTGAAATCTGTAGACAAGATGTGGGTACCCTTCATTCATGACCTGAAATCTGTAGACAAGAACAGACTCCCCTGTTAGTGACCACAGACAGACTCACCTGCTTGTGACAACAGTCACGTGATACTCACATTGTACGCCCTGAGAGCCCGATGGAAACAGTGGCCCCAGATGAAGAACTCGCCGACCAGGTAGAAAGGTGAGGCGTTCACATCCCCATAGGTCATGCTTAACAGGTCGCCGACCGGGACCCCGTAGCCTGCAAGTAAGCAGAATTTCTTCCAGGCATCTCTTCGAGGGGGCTCTGCCCCCCCCCCCCCCCCCCCGAAGAAAGTCTACCGCCCCGAACGAAATGAAATTTATACAGAAAGTATATACTTTTAACAGTGTCCGCCCCCCACCCCCGAAGAAAGTCTACCGACCCCCCCCCCTACTCCAAATAAGTTCGGGGTCATTACCTGCCACGTTGAGTGGGATGGTGGGGTCAGGGAGGGAGTAGATGGGGCGGGGGAAGGTGGTGAGGTAAATTGTTTGTGATGTTTTGAGTTTAGATGGGTTAATCAACAGCCCAAAATAATTTCTCGTGTATTTTTTAAAAATATAATAGAATCGCGTAGAGAAAAAAAAAGAAAATTAACAACTTTTATATTAGTTATTATTTTTAAAAATATTAAATTTCTGAATTTATTTAAGGCTTAAATTCTTTTAATAGTTTTTTTACGACTGATTTATGGCAAAATTGGAAGAAGGAAAAAAAAACGTATTTTTTAACCACGTCAACAATAATGGTCGAACACAACTGGTCAAACCCAAGCGTCTATGGAACCATATCAAAGTTATTGAGAATCATTTTAAAAAATAATAATTGAAGATGCTTGAGTGACTGGCTAAACATTTCCGGTCTTATCCTACTACTACTGCCTATACCACTGTGGGTGGGTACGGCTAACCAACAAGAACACGGGTACCAGAACACGGATGAGAATTGTATTTAGGACGATGCTGAGCATCACGTCACGTACCTAGCAGACGAACAGGCATCTGCCGAAAAGGATCGTGGCCCGCCATTTTGTTTGTGTTTGTTTAGTGTGTGTTGGTGCACAGTTTTTGATAGCAATGTGCACAACATAAGGGGAGATCAATGCCAATCACAAAAAAAGTTACGGAAATGCCCGATTTGATCCAGTATTTGTTGGTGCACAATTTTTATGGCCGTTTGCACAACTTAAGGGAGGTAAACGTTAATTACTAAAAAGCTACTGAAATGCACGATAAAGTGTGCAGAAAGGAAGAATGGAAAAAAAGCGGGAGTGAGCTCCCCTAAACTCTCTCACAAAAGTAATGGTTGGGATGTAATTTTCAGTGGAATCACGCTCTAGAAACTGTAGGTAATTTTGTAACAAAACAGTTCGTTTTTACAAGAATTATGCGACGTTTTGAGAATATGCTCTTTAAATATCTAAATATGAAAGTTTTTGAATACTTGGAATAGCGTTAAGTACCATTCCGGTTATCGGAAATTGTTAAAAGTTTCTGTACACCTAAGTATAGGATCTGAAGCATGTGTCCACCTACCTGAAACGGCACTTTGTTCTCGTATTCACACACACACACAAACAGACAATATTGCAGGACGAGTTTTCTGGCTCAGGGAGACGCAGGAAAGGTCGAAATCTGTTTTTCCACAATAACAGCACTTACTGCTTTTCTTTATTTCACATTTTAAATTACATTTTATTAATATTTCGTTAATATGTTAATTACTTACTAACAGCAAATGTGAAAAAGGACACAGTAGGCCTACGTACTATTGTAACTGTTACAGAATAAAGTTTTATTAATATCACTATATTATGAGGATGTACTAATTTAATTAAAGTATTTTAAAGCAATGAAAATAATATTTAACTTCATTTTCCTAATAAATCAATATACAATATATAATAACAGCAATATATCTATTTTAAAAAAAGAACGACAACTGTTGTTTTTTTTAATCAAAACTTTAATACCATGATTAAGGCTGGTTATTTCCCTTAGTCTACTGATTTCTAGTTTTTGCTCAATGAAAACAAAACAAAAAGAATAGTCACCCTTTATCATATCACACTTAACCAACAGTCTAAGTCTAAAATCACAACAATATACACACACAGAGAGCCATTATGTGGAGTACATTCTGCTTAAAATAAGCCAATACTGGATATATGAAAATATATATGAATAAAACAACAGATTTAATATAGATATAGGCCATACATACATAAATTTGGTTTATAGATTGTAAAACAGATCAATCTTGATATAAATATAGGAGTATATATTTAATGAATGTACAATAGTATATTAAATTTAGTGTAAATTTAAAGCTAAGGAATACAACAATTTGGTAAGTATAACATTTTTAACAATTGACTAGCTCATTTTGATAATTGTCAATACAAATACAGAAATACTTGCAGTAAAATAAGTGCAGTCCTTACTTTAGGCTGGTAGGTTGTTTAACTACTTCAACAAACAATGTTCTGTAACAACATAGCTTAACACTGTAATAAACTGATTAAACAAACTTTTTAAAAACTAAATCCTTGTTTTAGAATTTATTGTGGGTTGCATTTCGAATGCATAAACCAGATATAGGTTTTAATAACGTTTTAGAGATAAATTATGTTTCATTACAATTAAGGCACTTGATTTAAAAAATAAATATTAGAATTATCCAACAATGTGTGTAACAATATCACTTAAATTAATCATGAATACAAAAACATTGAGATTCTATTAATTTGCTCACAAAATTTTCACAAAGGATCAAATTAGCATATTAAGGTATGATAGATAAAACTATTTCAGTTCTATAAATACATTTTAAAATTATTATAACGAAATTACTTTTTCTTATTATACCTTTCATTTCTCTATTTTTTTTAACTGACCAAAACAATTATTTTTTAGCTTGAACATTAAATAAAAAATCTGGCACAGATATGAGTGAACACAAAGACAGGAGACTGAACTCCTGGCGCTGTCCAGCAGGCAGGCAGACAGCTGACCGGGTTAATGACCGGCATCTTTGATGATGTCTGGCTTCCAGTCAGGCTGCATGACTTCATTCAGCTCCCTGGCGTACAAGTCAAGTCTCTGAGTCATCTGTATAAAAATACATCAGTCACTTTATAAATGAGATTTTTTTAATCCTATTATTTTCTTGATTATTTTTAACATAAAATATTTTGCTAAATGGGAATAACGTGAAATGCTTGAACTATATGTATCACAAAAAGACTACACTCTAAGAATGATCTAGGCCTATACAACAGTAGCTCAGGTTGTTTGAGGCCTATACAACAGTAGCTCAGGTTGTTTGGTTATCTACTACAAATCTCCTCTGGCATTTTATACAGATTACAGATAATTCCTCAAAAAAATCTATAACTGTAACACTTACCCTGAAGCCCCATTTGTCCTTGACCTGTCTGCAGAGGTTAAGGTCAATTTCAGCTATAATTAGACCATCTTTAGTCCTAGAAAGGCCCTGGTAATTAAAAAAGAAAGGTGTACATTAATCAATACCATTTTAACTGGGTCAATGAATGAAGGTAATCAAACATACAACACCTGCCTGTGGTCACATGACATAATGACTTTATATGGTAACAAAGTTAATTTAATTCAACTTCTAAACTTATCATTTAGCTACTTGTAGCCAGCACCTAAAATAATTATTAAGCTACATGTAGCCATTTCTAAGCCGCTCATTAAGATAAATGTAGCAGTAACATATAAACTCATCATCTAACTACAGGCAACCACATCATCTTGCTACATCTAGCTACATGTAACCACATCATCTAGCTACATGTAACCACATCATCTAGCTACATGTAGCCACATCATCTAGCTACATGTAGCCACATCATCTAGCTACATGTAGCCACATCATCTAAACTCATCATCTAGCTACATGTAACCACATCATCTAGCTACATGTAACCACATCATCTAGCTACATGTAACCACATCATCTAGCTACATGTAACCACATCATCTAGCTACATGTAGCCACATCATCTAGCTACATGTAGCCACATCATCTAGCTACATGTAGCCACATCATCTAAACTCATCATCTAGCTACATGTAACCACATCATCTAGCTACATGTAACCACATCATCTAGCTACATGTAGCCACATCATCTAGCTACATGTAGCCACATCCTCGAGCTACATGTAGCCACATCATCTAAACTCATCATCTAGCTACATGTAGCCACATCCTCGAGCTACATGTAGCCACATCATCTAGCTACATGTAACCACATCATCTGGCTACATGTAGCCACATCATCTAGCTACATGTAGCCACATCATCTAGCTACATGTAGCCACATCATCTAGCTAAATGTAGCCACATCATCTAGCTACATGTAGCCACATCATCTAGCTACATGTAGCCACGTCATCTAAACTCATCATCTAGCTACATGAAGGCACATCATCTAGCTACATGTAGCCACATCATCTAGCTACATGTAGCCACATCATCTAAACTCATCGTCTAGCTACATGTAGCCACATCATCTAGCTACTTGTAGCCACATCCTCCAGCTACATGTAGCCACATCATCTAGCTACATGTAGCCACACCATCTAGCTACATGTAGCCACATCATCTAGCTACATGTAGCCACACCATCTAGCTACATGTAGCCACATCATCTAAACCCATCATCTAGCTACATGTAGCCACATCATGTAGCCGTAAATAACGCGATTAGCACAACGCGAATCGTCTGCTGGCACTTGTCCGACCGTTTAACATCTTATTTATGCTGACGTGGTTTTTCGACAAGATCCCTAGTCTATCACAGATTTTTTTTTTAGCTTGAGGCACACATACACTTTTAACTCCCCCCCTCCCGCCCCCACTTGAATAACGGGGGCGGCAGACGTTCACCCTGTTCCTGATAAAGACTAGCGGGTCCCAGCACACTGGCCCGGATCCCGGACACCCCGTCTCACAGAGGGTAACAAACGGCGCTCTATTTTCCGGACGTGTCCTACAAACCGGACCCGGTTGTTGAAATTATTTTTTTCCTGGCCCACCAGACGGTCGTGGCCCGCTTCTCACCCAGACAGAGGCGCGGCTGCGCATGCGTGTTAATTTGGTTTTTTTTTTTCTTTTTTTTTTTTAGCGGATGAGCGCGCGACTCAACGGAGATGACGTCAGCGCAAGTCTGGCTGACATCATTGTGTCGGAAATGAGAAAACTGGAACGCGAACGAAACAAAACACAACATGGTTTCAAAAGCAAGGAATGGGTGTAGAATTAGGATGAACTCCACTCAGTAACTGATTAAAAACCATAATCAACCATAGTCTAGATACAGTGCCTCTTGTATGCGCATCTCTTCGGGGGGGGGGGGGGGGGGGACACCCGACTTTCGCCTCCGCTCGGAGCATGTCCACGTCCACCCCCATCTCCTACCCCAGGAGGAATAGAAACAATTCAATTTTTTTTTTAAATAAAATAAAACGTGAATCAGTGCCCCCCCATACCCCCCCCCCCCCCGGAATTATTTTTCAAGTGCCTTCCACGGAAGTCTTAAGTGCTACCCCACGGAAGTTTCAAGTGCCCCCTCCCCCAGAGCAAAATGTCTGAAAGAACCCCTCAGTTTGAGTGACGTGCTTAACCTAACTTTTTGTCTTCAAATATGTCAGTACTATAAACAAGAGTAAACACTATTACATGATCAATGATTAGTCTATTTTGAGGAGACGTCTACTGTAAGCCAATATTTATATCTTTCTCTAAGTCCTCCATAAACAACGCATCACTCGCTCCTACGGGGAAAGGAGTGAGGGGGGGGGGGGTAATCAGACTCCTGTAATGATGTGTGTTGAGTTAAAAACCGAATTTTGTTTAGCCGTTATTTTTTTAACAATTAATGCGCTCACTGGTGGCTGAAGGGGAGGGTTGTGGTGGGCTGAGGTGGAACGTCATTGTGTGAGTGTTTGTGTGTGTGTGGGGGGGGGGGGTGTCTGACATGTTGTGACAATAGGGAAGGGGGAGGTAAAAATCGTTTTAAAGGGCGAGACGTCAATTATACCTGAGTCCAATTATGTCCCATGGTAATGACAATGGTTACAATGGGCGGACATAACGACACCAGGTCACTATACACTTAGGTAGGTAAGTGTCCATGTTTGCAAGAAGATGTCATTCAACCCCCCCCCCCTTATATGAAAATATTTAGGTATTATTAAATTAATTAAACATCTAATTTTGTTAAAGTTTATGTCACATAACATTGTCGTCGGAAATTGGTCTGTGTGTTAAGTTAACACATCGGTTTGATAGGAATTCGTGAAATTTTGCTCGGCAGTTTCGACCTGTGACAACGAGAATATGAATCAAGGTAAATGAATCTTGTAAAATTCAACAATCGAGTGAATAAGTTGAACACCACAAAATATGCTGGTCAACTTTTTCAGACAATCTGCGTGTCTTCTAAATTGACTTTTTTTTTAATTTAGTTATGATGTTAATAAATGTTATTTATATATTCTCAAGTTTAATTTGAATGTGATTTTTTAAATGACTGGAAACATATTGTTTCAAATAAGAAGGTCAATTGTTTCTAAAACGATTACAATTATTTGTACCAATTAGCCCAATTTATAATTGATATCTTGCGTTGCTAGTATCACCATAGTATCACGCGGGCATTACGATTAAAACGAACGGGTTATGTTTTCTTCTATCGTGTTCACTATATCAGAATTAGCGGTTGATCCAAAAATAACCTAAAGATAGTGACATACATTGTAAATGTAACACCTAGACCCCGCCTCTGAATTCGTCTACGCCGCTGAATGACACCCTTCCATGACAAGGTGGTTTGAACTTGACCCGGCACCCCAGAACAGACGACCCAAGTTCACACAGACGCCTGGGGCATGCCGGTACACACACACCGCCTGTAGTGCATGGCAGTGTGGAGGGGTCGCAACGTTCGCCTCCACGTTATTCACATGTGGGAGAATCCATTCCACCTCTCGGATAAGTTTTCACACTAGAACATATAATTCGCTGTTCCAACATAAGAGTATGACGAGAAATAAATTATAAAAGAATCTAATCTATGTAATGAAATAACCTGCATCAAATTTTAAATATAGATCTAGAGTAATCAATTTATTTTAAACAGATTGCGTCGTATGAACGTCGTATTATCACCCCTTAATTTTGAATTAAATTCGACACACTCTATTATAAATAAATGTCTTTAGAATAGCCCATGTTATCAACCAGGGGTGTTAGGATAGAGAAAAATGCGCCGCCGAGGCTACGAGATGGTACAGCCCTGCGTGTTTAAAAATAACCGCAGGCGGATATTTTACGTATTATCTGGGTCAGTACATCTCGGTCACGATGACATGAGCTCCAACATGGGAAATCGATTTCAATCAAAAACTTTTTTTTAATGTTAATAGCAGCACGGTAATGAGGGGCTTAAAATGTCAGCGTTCTGCAGAAACACTCGGTTACGTGGCACGAAGGGCTCCTCATGGAAACCTACATAATCTCGAAGCGAAGCCTAATTTGGCAGAGGCGTATCCCTGCTAATAGCTTGTAAAATGAGGATACGACAATGAAAGTTGTAATACTCAAGCGGGATTATTTGTCAAACTGAACATCAGACATCAAGGGATGTGTCATTATAAAACAAACATGTCCATATGGGTCGTCACATAATCTTAGCACTCCCCCACAGTCCCTCCTATCTGCACACGTCGCCACAAAAAGCCCCCCCCCCACCATTACTTAATCAAACCTCAGCGACCACACCCTCCTGTATGTCCCACATACACTAAGTCATTATTCAATCAAAACTTGTTTTTTGTTTATTCCATAGCGTGCATGGTTATGCATGAAGTTTGGTTATTTTAAATAATAAATATATGTTACGTAGTATTATCAATATATATTTGTATCCCCCCTCCCCCTTGCCCCATAAGTCGAACGTAGCTTCTGGTCAGAAAGATATAGACTTCTCCCCTTAAGTGTGAAATCTTTATGGCAGAACCTTGCCCCCCCCCCCTTTTTCCGGGACACTTTCTTTCAGACATTTTTCTTCGAAAATTTTTGAGAAGGGGGTGGGTTCAAACCCTTCCGGCGCCCGGGGACAATGTTTCAATTTGGCGCCCGCCCACCCCCCATATTTATTTTTTTAAATTTATAATGCAAAACTGCAGCTAAAATGAGGTTTTAATTTTTTTTCAACCCATTTTGGCGCCCCTATGGTCGGCGCCCGGGGACATGTACCCCCACCCCCTACGCCTTTGGATTAGCCTTTGTAGATTAGCCCTAATTAAATCCTTTGATGTCTGAATAAGAGAAAAGTGTTGTTGTTTTTTAAACTGCCATTATCAATTGTTGTTTTGTTCTAAAAGAGCTCCCACAGTGACCTATATCGATATCTACAAGTCGGATAACAAAAATCAGTTCGACAGGTTGATAAAGTAGGTA